CTTTGGGTCACCATCCCAAGCCCCGGGAGGGTCCATCCCAATCCCTTGGGGTCTGTGCCCAGCCCCGGGCGCCGTGCCCGGATACCCGCTGCTGCTGGCAGGAGACGAAGGTCTGGAAGCCAGGGGCCACGCCGAAGCCCAGCTGGTCGATGAAGGGCGGCTCGTCCTGGCTGTGGATCTGCACCTTCACCCCCACCTCGAACGAGGTCTCATCTGCAGAGCAGGGGAGGGGGGTCAGGTGCAGGGCAGGGGATCTCACCCGTGTCCCCCTAAAAGGATCTGGGACCCAGTGCTCTCACCCTGTCCCCCAGATGGGCAGGGTCTCACCTGTGTCCCCCCAGCCGGGCAGGGTCTCACCCTGTCCCCCCAGCCGGCAGGGTCTCACCCTGTCCCCCAGATGGGCAGGTCTCACCCTGTCCCCCCAGCCGGCAGGGTCTCACCCTGTCCCCCCAGCCGGCAGGGTCTCACCCTGTCCCCCCAGCCGGCAGGGTCTCACCTGTGTCCCCCCAGACGGGCAGGTACTCCTCCTGCTGCACGTTGAGCATGAGCTCCAGCCCGTTGCCGGAGCCGCCCTGCAGCGTGGTCAGCACCTCGCGGCCCGGCCCCCCCGGGTTGAACGTGTAGCACTTCCCCAGGCGCGTGAAGATCTGCGGGGACACGGGGCACCCGTGGCACGTGGGGACGGGGCGCTCGCTGCCACCGCGGGCACCCCACGTGGACACTCAGTGCCACTGTGGGGACCCTGTGGGGACACAAGGACCCACATGGGGACTGGCAGTGGGGATCCAGTGCCCCACATGAGCCAGGGCAGGATGCCAGTGCCCCAGGGCAGGATCCCAGTGCCCTACAGGACCCAGGATGGGGTCCCCGTGCCCCAGGGCAGGATCCCAGTGCCCTGCAGGACCCAGGATGGGGTCCCCGTGCCCCAGGGCAGGATCCCAGTGCTGCCAGGAGAGGCGAGGGCGTTGGTGGTGCCGGCCTGTGCTGCCGCGGCTCTGCAGGGATATTGGGTTTCCTCGTGGTTCCAGGGAACACGTGGGGACACTTGAGAGGGGAGGACACAAGCCAGAACGGTGATGGGGACCAGGCCACCTTTGTCACAGCGGCGGGGGCCACCATGTCCCCCTCAGGAGCTGAGAGCCTGCCCTGGGCCAGCCCCCCTGGGCCGCCCCCCCAGCAGGAGCCCTGGGGTGACCTTGAGTTCCGGGGATCAGAACCCACAGCCGGGCACCCTGGGGTGGCCCCGAGCCCCCGGAGCGGTCCCGTGGCCTCCAGCTCCTGCCATGCAGTCCCGTGGTGTCCTGGCCCTCTGTGCCGGGTGCCCCACCCGGGGTAATGTCCCACGGGGGGAGCGGAGGGGGCGTTGCCGTGGCAACCAGCTGCTCCCAAAGTGGGGACCCGTTGCCATGGCAATGCAGTGCCCAAGGAGGAAAGGGGGGGCGGGTGTCATGGCAACGGCTGCCCGGCATGGGGATGCTGGGGGGGCATGGGTGGGGACAGCGATGGGGACGTGTCCCCAGCACCGCCAGTCCTCCTGCTCAGGGTCACACGGGGACCCCCAGCCCTGCACCCTGGGGACCCCCAGCCCTGCGCCCCAGCCCGCAGCCCAGCCCTCCTGGTCCCCACACCCATCCACAGGCCCTGGGGGATGCCAGAGGAGACACAGCTCAGCCGCTGGCCCTCGGGCCCCTGCCCATGTGCAGGACCCTCGGGGACGCTGGGCCCAGCTGGGGCGAGGGGCAGGGACACCGTGCCAGAGCTCAGCCGCTGGCCCTCGGGCCTCTGCCCATGTGCAGGAGCCTTGGGGACGCTGGGCAGGGACACCGTGCCAGAGCTCAGCCCCCGGCCTAGGGCACAGCATCCCAAGCCAGGACTAAGACTGGCCGAGCCTGGGCGTTTTGGGGGGTGGAGCCGGGACCTTGCTGCCTAATCAGGCACATGCCACCCACCCGAGTGCTGCCCTGGGGACCCGCAGCCCTGCTGCCACATGTGCCAGCTCTCAAACCCAGGGCTGTCACCACCCAGGGCCATCACCACAGCCTGGCCGGGCTCTGGGAACACTGGCAGAGCAGCTCTGGCCACGGGCACAGGGGGCACAGGGAGCAGGGGGCACAGACCTGTCAAAGCACAGCTCGTCCCTAAGCTGCGTGCTGAATTAATTAGTGCTCCAAGAGCACTAAGGGGCAGCAGCTGCTGGGGACAGCGATGTGGACTGGGCAGAGCTGGCATGGCAGACGTGAGCTGCCCACGCTGCTGCCTGGTGCTGCTGTGGCAGGAGGGGAGTGTCTGTGCTGCCCATGCCGCCATCACTGCCTGTGCCAGTGTCCCTGCCTGTCCTGCCCGTGCCACCGCCCCTGTCCCCCTGCCTGTGCCACTGTCCCTGCCCGTCCTGCCTGTGCCACCAGCCCTGTCTGTGCCACTGTCCCTGCCTGTCACACAAGTGCCACCATCGCTGCCTGTGCCACTGTCCCTGCCCTGCTCTGGGGTGCTGGGAGCAGCAGCAGGGGGTCCCAGCAGGGCTGGCACAGGGACCCCCACCCATGCCAGGCGTGGAAGAGCTGCCCATGGGAGGGAGCCTCTGTGCCAGCAGTCGGGGCAGCGGCTGCTGCTGGCGGTGCCCAGTGGCACCTGAGGCTGGCACGGGGGCTGGGGGCTGCACCTGCGAGCACCTGTACAAGTGACACCCCGTGCAGGAGAGCACCCCACACCTGTGAGCGCCCCTCCATCCCCTGTGAGCATCCCGTGCCCACCAGCACCCCTGCACGCAGCAGAGACCCCCAGGCAGCCCAGGGTGCCCGGCACAGCCCCGCTCCATCCTGGCACGGCTGGCAGCACCCGGGTGGGGACATCCCGGTGAGGGGGGGCTGTCCCCAGCCGGGCGGACAATGAGAGAGGGGCATCGCCTGCCCGGCCCCAGCAGGACCCCCGTGTCCCTGCGCAGCCCCGGCCGCCCGGCGCTCCCCTCCCGGCCCCGGGCACTCACCACGGTGAAGTTGCGGGCGGTGCAGCCGGTGCCGCGGAAGGAGCACTGCAGCAGCATGTCAGCCAGGTCGTGGCCCGTGCGGTTGTAGAACTCGGCCATGCTGAAGGGCTTCGCCTTGAAGTTCTTGAAGTTGGCCTTGTCGCGCAGCGCGGCCAGGACGTGGGGCTCGGCCAGCTGCGGGTTGCTGATCTCGTAGCGCTCGTTGAGCAGCGCCAGCAGCTCGCCCACGTGGTACATGTCGTTGCGGGTGATTTTGGAGAAGCGGAACTCGTTGAGGTTGCAGATGGTGATGGCCGGGAAGGTGAGGTTGCGGGCAGCCACCTCGTCCAGCTTGGTGACGTGCGGGTAGGTGAGGAAGTAGGCGACGCGCTCGGCGCACACGAGCAGCAGCAGCCCCAGCGAGCCCAGGAAAAAGCCGCCCCAGAGCACGCGGCGCAGGGACACGGCCCCGTAGGCGAAGACGTGGCTGATGCCGTGCAGCGAGGAGCTGTGGGCGAACGCCCGCAGGCTGGAGAGCCCCTCGCCCTCGCCGCTGCCCTCCGAGCCCCTCCTCATCCTGTTGCCGCCGGGGCCCCGCGGTGCCCCGCAGCCTCAGCCCATCGCCGCGCCGGGCTCAGGGCGCGGGCAGGGGAGGAGGAGGAGGGTGGGCAGGGGGGAGGAAGGCGGGGGGGGCAGGACCGGCCGCCCGGCCCCCCAGCCCCTTCGCGCTGCCGGTGCCGGTGCCGCGGAGCCGCGGGCAGCGCAGCGCAGCCCCCGTCCCGGCTCCAGCCCCGGCCGCGGCTCCGATCCCGGTCCCGGTTCGAGCTCTGGTCCCGGATCCGGTCCCGATTCCAGGCTCGGTCCCCCCCGATCCCGGTGCCGGCTCCAGTCCCAGCCCCGCTCCCAGCCCCGGTCCCGCTCCCGCCGCGGCGCAGCCGCCGCCGGNNNCGCCCCCGCCCCTCCCGCGGCTCCACCCGCCGCCCCCGCCGGCGGCCGCAGCGGGGAACGGGGGGACCGAGACCCCCGGGGAGGGGGGGCCGGCGGAGAGCGCCCCCGCCCCGGGCAGCTCGGGGTCACCGCGGTGCCCCCTCCCGGGGTCACACGGGGGTCCCTCGCCCCGGGAGGCGATGCGGCGCAGCCTGCAGCCCCGGAGGATGTCGCAGGGTCCCCCCGCGCCGGGGGCGACACAGGGCTCTCCCGGCCAAAGGCTGACCCATGGGACCCCCACCAGGGGGCCATGCAGGGCTAACCCCACCCCGGGGGTCACACAGGGGCGACCCCCCCGGGGGATGACACAAGGGTCCCCTGCCCTGAGGGACAGCACAGGGGACAGTGTCCCCAGTGGCGTTAGGAAAGGGCAACCCCCATTCCAGGGGTCCCGGACCCCGGGGTCATGCAGAGGGTCCCTACCCCAGGAAGATGGATGACACAGGGTCCCTCCGCTCCAGGGTGACAGAGGGGTCCCCGCCCCGGAGGGTGACACAGGCCACCCCCCCGTTCCAGCGGGGGGTCACACGGGGGTCTCCCCACCCCAGAGGTCACCCAGGGGTTCCTCCACTCCGGAGGTGACACACGAGGGCCCTGCCCCGGGGGCAATACCGGGGTCCCCCTCACGGACATCACGCAGGGGCTCCTCCATCCCGGGGGGTGCAGGGGTCCCCCATCCCGCGGTCACGCAGGGTTCACCCCTCCAGTCCCCGGGGTGCTGCAGCGTTTCCTCATCGGGAGTGACAGGGGTGGCACACGGCACGGTGACACACGGGACACCCGAGGGTCACACAGGGAGCGCTCAGCCCAGCAGGGCCACGCAGCTCGGGAGGGGGGCTGTCACCAGGCAGGGGTGACACGGGGGTGACACAGGGGGGACACTGGGGGGACACAGGGGACACCCCCGCCCCGGGGGGCAGCGCGACAGGGGAGGGGGCGGGGCCAGCCCCACGGCCCCGCCCACAAAGTCACACGTCACTCGGCCCGGCCCCGCCTGCCGGTGCCACGGGCGCCCCCTGGCGGCGCGGAGGACCGTCCGCAGCACACAGGTCACACAGCCACCCTCGTGGCCACACAGGCCGCCACAAAGCGCAGCCCGTCCGCCTTGCAGCCCGCTTTATTGGGGACAGCGGGGACCCCTCAGGGCTCCTCCTTAGTCTGCCGTCGGATGAGCTCGGCGTAGAGACCCCCGCGCCGCAGCAGCTCCTCGTGAGTCCCTGCCTGCGGGGACAGCGGGGACAGCCATGGGTGTCACCAGCCATTGGTGTGCCCAGCCATGGGTGTCTCTAGCCATGGGTGTCACCAGCCATGGGTGTCTCCAGCCATGGTGTCCCGGCCCGCAGGTCTCACTTGTGACCAGCCATGGGTGTCACCAGCCACGGGTGTCACCAGCCATGGGTGTCTCCAGCCATGGGTGCCACCAGCCATTGGTGCCACCAGCCATGGGTGTCACCAGCCACGGGTGTCACCAGCCATGGGTGTCTCCAGCCATGGTGTCCCGGCCCGCAGGTCTCACCTCGGCCACGCGGCCCCGGGCCAGCACGGCGATGAGGTGCGCGCCGCGGATGGTGCTGAGGCGGTGCGCGATCAGCAGCACGGTGCGGCCGCGGGCTGCCCGCTCCAGCGCCGCCTGCACCGCCCGCTCCGCCTGCGCGTCCAGCGCGCTCGTGGCCTCGTCCAGGATGAGCACGGCCGGGTCCTTGAGCAGCGCCCGGGCGATGGCGATGCGCTGCTTCTGCCCCCCGGACAGCGCCGTGCCGCGCTCGCCTGCGGGCACCGCGGGGACACCGCGGGGACGCCGTGGGGATGCTGTGCTGCCCCGTCCCAGGGGACCCCCAGCCCGCAGCCCATCCCTCCTGCCCGGAGCCCAGCGCCCTGCGCACAGCTGGACGTCACCGGTGACACAGCGCTGTCCCCGCAGCACCGGGATCGCCTCGGCTGGGCTCCAGGCTGGCCTGACCCCTCCCGGGAGCCCCGGCCATACCCACGATGGTGTCGTAGCCCTGGGGGAAGCTGCGGATGAAGCCGTCAGCGTTGGCGAGCCGGGCGGCCTCGTACACCTCGGCATCGGAGGCTCCCGGCTTCCCGAAGCGGATGTTCTCCATGATGGTTGTGCCAAACAGCACCGGCTCCTGCAGCACGCCCCGGCCTCAGCACCGAGCCAGCCCTGCCCCGCCTCCCTCCCTGCCCTCCCCAGGGACGGCCGGGGGTCCTGCCCCACCTGGCTGATGAAGCCGATGACCTGCCCCCGCAGCCACGAGGGGTCCAGGCCCGCGATGTCGTGCCCGTCCAGGGTGATGGTTCCTGCCGTGGGCTCATAGAACCGCTCCAGCAGCGCTGCCACTGTGGACTTCCCTGCGGAGGAGACCCCTGAGCCCCCTGCTCTGGATCCCCCGGCTCCAGCAGCACTGGGGGTCCCCAGTCCCTGGCATACACTGGGAGCACTGGGGCACAGGAGGATGTGCCCAGGGAGAGGGTGGGAGGTACTGGCACCTGTGCCCAGGGAGAGGGTGGGGAGTTCTGGTACCTCCTCCTGAGGGGCCCACGATGGCCACAGTCTGGCAGGGCGGCAGGGTGAGGCTGAAGTCCTGCAGGACAGGGTAGCCAGGCCGGGTGGGATAGCTGCAGGGAGAGGAGCAGGGGCTGCAGGGCTGTGGGGACACGGTGCCAATGCCCCTGCCCATGGTGGATCAGAGCCATGGGGGGCCAGGCAGGGGCCTGGTGGGGCCCACCTGAAGGAGACGTGGTCGAAGCAGATGTGTCCAAGCAGGGAGTGGGCAGGGATGGTGGCCCCCCCCTGCAGTGGCACGAGGGGCTCCAGTCTCAGCAGCTCCAAGACACGGGCGCCAGCACTCAGACCCCGCACCACCTGTGGGGGGACAGCAGGAGCACCTCATGGCCCCTCAGACCCCACCTCATGGCCCCTCAGACCCCACCTCATGGCCCCTCAGACCCCACCTCATGGCCCCCCAGACCCCCCCTCATGGCCCCCCAGACCCCACCTCACTGGCACTCAGACCCCACCTCATGGCCCCTCAGACCCCACCTCACTGGCACTCAGACCCTGGCATTGGGACAGGGCTGGCACGGCCCTGGGACAGCGGGTGGCCTGGCACAGCACTGGGACAGCACTGCCACAGCACCACGACAGCAGCAGAGGGATGCCACACCATGGCACTGGGACAGCGGGTGGCCTGGCACAGCAGTGGGACAGTGGGTGCCACACCATTGCACAGGGACAGTGGGTGTCACACCATGGCACTGGGACAGCGGGTGCCACACCATGGCACTGGGACAGTGGCTATCTCGTGTCAGCACTGGGATGGTGGCCGTCACACTGTGCCACTGGGACAGCACGTGTCACACAACAGTGGATACCAGGATGGTGGGTGTCACACAATGGCACCAGGATGTCACACCATGGCGTGGGGACAGGTGGTGTCACGTCCCTGCACAGGGACTGTGCCATCACACTGTGGCACTAGGACAGTGACAGGCAGAGATGGCAGGTGCCACACCATGTCAGTGGGACAGTGGCCATCCTGCTGTGGCGGCACTGGGACAGGGCTGGCACGGCACTGGGACAGCGCTGTCACAGCACCACGACAGCAGCAGAGGGGTGCCACACCATTGCACGGGGACAGTGGGTGGCCTGGCACAGGACCGGGACAATGGGGTCACGCCGTGGCACTGGGACAGTGGGTGCCAGACCATGGCACTGGGACAGCGGGTGCCACACCATGGCACTGGGACAGTGGCTATCTCGTGTCAGCACTGGGATGGTGGCCGTCACACTGTGCCACTGGGACAGCACGTGTCACACAACAGTGGATACCAGGATGGTGGGTGTCACACAATGGCACCAGGATGTCACACCATGGCGTGGGGACAGGTGGTGTCACGTCCCTGCACAGGGACTGTGCCATCACACTGTGGCACTAGGACAGTGACAGGCAGAGATGGCAGGTGCCACACCATGTCAGTGGGACAGTGGCCATCCTGCTGTGGCACCGGGACAGTGTGTTACTCCACGGCACAGGTGTGACACAGGGACAGTGGGGACAAGGCCACCCTCTCAGCCCTGCTCACCACAACAGCAGCTGAGAGTGCCAGGAGCTGCGGGCGCAGGAAGGTCCAGAACAGCGGCCAGTCAAAGGGGGTCTCCGGGGGGGTCTCTGGCGGCTCGGGAGCAGCGGGGGGGCCGTTGGGGACAGTGGCCTCCTGGCAGCGCGCAGCCGAGCGCAGCAGCCCCAGCAGCACGCAGCCCGTGCCCGAGCCCGCCAGCAGCAGCCGCCGGGGCGCGCGGGGCACCGGGCGGGCGCGTGCCCTGCCGCCGTGCCCGTGCCCGTGTCCCCGCGTGCGCTCCCGGGGCACTCGCGGGGGCACCGGCGAGCCCCGGCCGTGGTCAGGGGGCACAGCCGTGTGTCGCCACCGGGGCTCGTGTCGCCACCGGGGCTCGGGTCGCCACCGGGGCTCGGGTCACCACGGGGGTGGTGGCACCCTGCCGTGTCCCCGCGGGCTGGTGTCCGTGTCCCCGTGCGGGGTCGCGGGGCTCCCCGTGACACGGGTGACGCTGCGGAAACACACGTGTGTCCCGGCGGGGTCACCGGGGCCACTGCCCGTGCCGCCGTGTCCCCGGGGTGCCACGTGCCCTGGGCTCTGTCCCCGGCCCCGGGGGTGTCCCGGTGCCCGTTCCGGGGATCCCCGGCCCCCCCCGTTTACCCTCTGGGGCTATTTTCGGGCTCCGCGGGTATTTTTGGCCTCCCGATGCGGAGCTGGCTGGGACGGGCCGTGCCGGTGTCACCCGCCGGGACACCCGATCCCGGGCGATGCGGCCGCTGTCCCCGGGGGTGTTGCACAATTGGGGTCGAGTCTCTCTTGCTGCACCAGCCCCGCGCCGTGAGTCAGCCGCGGGCAGGTGGGGCCGGGCGGTGTCACCCGCGGCCACCGGCCCGGCCGGACAGCGGCTGTGGCCACCGCGGGGGACGCTGGTGACGCGCGGCGCGGCGGTAAGGGCACCGTGGGGCTGGACCGGGTGTCCCGCCCTGCTCCAGGGTGGGGGTCCCGTCCTTCCGCAGGGTGTGATGGTCCCACCCAAGAGTTTGGGGTCTCTTCCAAGAGTTTTGGGTCCCGTCCTGCCCTGTGGGGGGTTGTCCCCTGTCCCAAGGTGCGGGGTCCTGCCCTGCCCCAGAGGGGTGGGGGGTCCAGTCCTTCCCCGGGCCGGGGTCCGCAAGGCACTGAGCGGCCACCAGGGCTCAGGAGCTGGTCCTGAGCTGGTCCCGCTCTGGGCTGCTGCCCCCGGCTCGGGGGTGCTGTGTCCGTGGGGAGTGGGGTCTGTGGGGGGTCCATGGGCACACGAGTGCATGGGGAGGGGGCTCTGTGGGGAGGGGGCTCTGTGGGGGGCTGTGATCACAGGGGTCCGTGGGGAGAGGAGTCCCCCCACTCGGGCCGGGCAGCACAGCATGGCCCGGGGACGGCCGGGGGGAGTATTGGGGTCCCTCGGACCTCGCAGGGGGTCCCCCCCGGGGAGCCCTGCAGGGTCACGGCAGGCTCTGGCACCGGCCGGGCCGGTGGGACAGGACGGGCCGGTGGCACCTGCGGTGTCACCTGCCCGCGGCCGGGGCCAGCTCAGGCCGCCCGAATTCGGGGCACGCGGGCGGCGCGGCGGCACCCCGGCGGCATTTCCGGGGCCCCACGCCCGCCCCGCGGCGGCCCCCGGCGCTCACGGTCCCCGGCAGGTGATGGCGGAGCAGCGAGAGGAGGACCGGGACTACCGGGAGTACCGGCGGCTGGAGGATGGGGAGGAGGACTCGCCCCCCGGCGAGGAGGAGGAGGAGCAGCTGCTGCTGCACGTCACCGAAGGACCGACAGGTACTGGGGTCCCGTCTGGGGGGGTCCGGGGTCCCGCGGGCTGTTTGGGGACCCCGGGTGGTGTGTCTGGGTCCGGGGTGGGGCGCGGGATCCCGGGGGGGCGGTACCACATTCCCACCTGATCCCCCCCGTGTTTTTCCCCCCAGACTCGTGGCACCACATTAAGGACCTGGACAGTTTCTTCACCAAGATATCCTGGCACAGCCCCTGGTGGCACTGTGGGGGACATGGGGTGACTCTGGGGGTGGGGGGGGACATGGGGGGGTCCATCACCCCTTCGTAGTCTCCTTAACCCCCCCACATCTACCAGTTCCACCAGAGGAATGGCTTTGCCTGCGTCCTGCTCTCGGACGTGCTCGAGCTGCTGTAAGTGACGCCGTGCTGTCACCGTGCGGTGCCAGGCGGCCGGGGGGTGCCGCTGACCCCCCGTGCCCGCAGGCAGTTCCTGTTCGTGGTCACCTTCAGCACGTTCCTGCTGTGCTGCGTGGACTACGACGTGCTGTTCGCCACGCGCCCGCTCAACCACAGCCACGTCCCCGAGCGCGCCAAGGTGACGCTGCCCGACGCCGTGCTGCCCGCCCCGCAGTGCGCCCGCAGGTGGGCAGGGCAGCGGGGACACTGCGGGGTCTCCTCAGTGCTGCGGGGACACACGGGCTCCCGGCGGCGTGCGTGACGCGCGTGTCCCCAGAGGGTCAGTGGTGGCGGTGGCTACGGCTCCCGCTGCTGCCTGCGTGGCCATGCAGATGTCCCTGTGCCACCAGCGTGGCTTTGCGGGGTCAGGGTGCCGCTGGTGTGGCTCACGGGGTCCTGGTGCTGTGGGTGACGTGTCCCCAGCAGTCCCTGAGACTGCAGATGGCTGTGAGGCAGCTGGTGGCACTGGTGACATCTGTGTTTCTGCAGGCTTCATGGCAGCGGGTGGCTGCTGCCTGGGAAGGGTTTGGTGGCCCTGCTGATACTTGTGTCCCCACCTGTGTCAGCAGGTGGCTTCTGGTTTTGCTGGCACCGGTGTGGCTGTGGGGGGGTCCCAGTGGCACTGGTGACAGCTGTGTTCCCTTAGCAAGCTCTGTGGCACTGGTTGGCAGATGGCCACGGGGGCTTGGTGGCCCTGGTGACACCCGTGTCCCCGCAGGCTCCGTGGCAGCGGGTGGCTGCTGTTCCTGCTGGTGCTGGCGGGCGCAGTCTGGCTGTGCCGCCTGGTCACGGCGCTGCGGCGCCTCGTGGGCTACTGGGAGATCAGGAGCTTCTACATCCGTGCGCTCGGCATCCCCGCGGTGAGGGACGGGGCTGGGCGGGGGCTGCGGGGGCTGGGGTCCGGGCTAGGGGGGCTGGGGTCTGGGCTAGGGGGACTGGGGTCCGGGCTGGGCTGTCAGGTGCCACCAGGGGGCTGGGGTTCAGGCTGGGCTGTCAGGTGCCACCAGGGGGGCTGGGGTTCAGGCTGGGCTGTCAGGTGCCACGCTGAGTGACACCAGCACCGAGCAGCGCCGTGCCGTGCCGCGGGTGCCCAGTGCCGATGGCCGTGCCGTCGCCGCAGGAGGAGCTGTGTAACCACAGCTGGCAGTCGGTGCAGGCCCGGCTGCTGGCCCTGCAGCGGCGCCAGCCCCTGTGCGTGCCGCGCCGGGAGCTGACGGAGCTCGACATCCACCACCGCATCCTGCGCTTCCGCAACTACACCGTGGCCATGGTCAACAAATCCCTGCTGCCCGTGCGCTTCCGCCTGCCGCTGCTGGGCCCCGTGGTCTTCCTGACGCGCGGGCTGCAGTTCAACCTGGAGCTGCTGCTGTTCCGCGGCCCGGCCGCGCTCTTCCAGAACACCTGGAGCCTGCGGCCGCAGGTGAAGCGGGCGGGCGCGCGGCGGGCGCTGGCGCGGGGGCTGGCGCGGGCGGCCGTGCTGCTGGGGGTGGCCAACCTGGCGCTGTGCCCCTGCGTGCTGGGCTGGCGCCTGCTGCTCGCCTTCTTCAGCTACGCCGAGGGGCTGAAGCGGGCGCCGGGCAGCCTGGGCGCGCGCCGCTGGTCGCTCTACGCGCGCCACTACCTGCGCCACTTCAACGAGCTGGGCCACGAGCTGCAGGCGCGGCTGGGCCGCGGCCACGCGCCCGCCACCAAGTACATGGACTCCTTCAGCAGCCCGCTGCTGGCCGTGCTGGCTCGCCACGTCGGCTTCTTCGCCGGCTCCGTGCTGGCCGTGCTCATCGTGCTCACCGTGTACGACGAGGACGTGCTGACGGTGCAGCACATCCTGACGGCCATCACGCTGCTGGGGCTCGTGGTCACCGTGGCCAGGTGGGTGCTGCATTGGTGGCCAGTGGATGGGCCAGACCCTGTGCCGTGCCATGCGGGGCCGGGTGGGCAGCGGGGGCTGAGGTGGGACCCCCCGTGCCCCTGCAGGTCCTTCATCCCGGATGAGCACGCGGTGTGGTGCCCGGAGCAGCTGCTGCAGCGGGTCCTGGCCCACGTCCACTACCTGCCCGAGCACTGGCAGGGCCGCGCCGGCCGCGCCGAGACACGAGCAGAGATGGCACAGCTCTTCCAGTACAAGGCGGTGCGTGCAGCCCGTACTGCCCGAGCCCCCCTCCCCAGGACCCCACTCCCCTGGGACCATCCTCTCCCCCCAGCCCCCCAATCCCAGCACCCCACAGACTGGGGGCCCCCCATGCTGGGATTTCCCAGCCCTGGCACCCCCCACCTCAGCATCCCCAGCCTGGACCCCTCAACACTGGGACCCCCTGCTCCAAGACCCCATTGCCCTGGGACCCCCTGTCCCAATCCCCTGCCCTGAGACCCCCCACCCCCAGGATGCCTCAGAGTGGGGGCTTCCTGTGCCAGGATCCCATAGCCTGGATCCCCCACACTGGGACCCTCCTTCCCCGGGACTCCCCGCTCTCGAGGCACCCCCATCCTGATTTGGAACCCCCCACACAGATCCCTGCCCCCCGGGCAGCCCTGCCCAAGCACTCCCCTCCTCAGGACCTACTGCCCTGATACCCCACCCCGGACATCCCGCCCCAGGGCTCCCGAATGTGGGACCCCTGCCCCGGGACACCCCCTGATCCCGCTGCCCCCGTGCAGGTTTTCATCCTGGAGGAGCTGCTGAGCCCCCTCGTGACCCCCCTGATCCTCATCTTCGCGTTCCCCCCCCGCGCCCTCGACATCGTGGACTTCTTCCGCAACTTCACGGTGGAGGTGGCGGGGGTGGGCGACATCTGCTCCTTCGCGCAGCTGGACGTGCGCCACCACGGCAACCCGCAGGTGGGCACGGCGCGGGGCCGGGGCGCTGCGGGCCGCCGTGCCCTGCCGGCGCGTGCCACGTGTCGCTGTCCCCGCAGTGGCTGTCCGAGGGACACACGGAGGCGCCCCCGGAGCGCCAGGCGGAGCACGGCAAGACGGAGCTGTCGCTGATGCGCTTCGCCCTGAGCAACCCCCGCTGGCGGCCGCCGCCGCCCGCCCGCCGCTTCCTCGGCCACCTGCAGGCGCAGGTGACCCGCGACGCGGCCACCGCGCCCGCGTCCCTGCTGCCCGAGGACTCGGCCCTGGCGGTGAGTGCGGGCCGGGGGGCGCTGCGGGGTGTCGTGCGTGTCCCGCTGACGGTGTCCCCGCAGCCCGAGGCGCTGCTGAGCAGCGTCCTGGCGGCCGGCGGGCTGCTGGCCCGGGGGCAGCCCTGCAGCACGGCCAGCGCCACCGCCAGCCTGCTGGCGTCCCTGCGGACCCCCCTGGGCACCCCGCCCTGCGCAGCCCCCGACAGCCCCGCGGAGCACCCCGAGGACAGGTGGGGACGCGGGCCGTGAGGAGGGGCGACGTGGCGGGGACATGGGGGGCAGGGAGGGAAGGGGTGTCACAGCCAGGAGGGGTGCTGCGGGGGGTGTCACAGCCAGGAGGGGTGTCAGGGAGGGGTGTCACAGCCAGGAGGGGGGCCGCGGCGAGGCTGTCACCGCGTGTCACCCCCCCCCGTGCCCCAAGGCCGGCGCTGAGTGAGTCGCCGGGGCTGTCACCGCGTGTCGCCCCCCCCGTGCCCCAAGGCCGGCGCTGAGTGAGTCGCGGCTGCGCAGCCTGAGCCGCTCGGCGCTGCTGGCCGAGGTGGCCTCCGCCGAGATGAGTCTCCACGCCATCTACCTGCACCAGGTGTGTCACCCGCGCCTCCCGGGGTCCCCCTGCCCGCAGCGCCCCGGGACACGGCTCCCTTGGGCTCCCTGGTGTCTCTCACCAGAGCGTCGCTGTCTGCGTGCTCTGCCTCCTGGCCCTGGTCCCTCGTCCCCGGTGCCATGCCAGGCTGTCCCCACCCTCCCTGCCCCGCTGGGTGACACCCACCCTCTCTTCCCGGCCACTGACCGCAGCTGGTGTCACCCGTGGTGCCCCTTCTGCCCCCATTTGGGGCGGGGGAGTGCCCCGGGCTGAGGGACCCCTGTGCTGCCCGCGGGGGGCTCCGAGTGCCAGGCCGGGGGGCTCTGCTGTGCTGGGGGGCTCCAGCAGCACTGTGGGGGCTCTGGCTGCTCTGGGGGGGCTCTGGCTGCTCTGGGGGGGCTCTGAGCGCCCATCCAGCTCTCTGCTGCCCCCGACCCCTCTGCCCCCAGCTCCACCAGCAGCAGCAGCAGCAGCCACAGGGCCCCGGCCCGCAGCCCGCGGGGGCACCCAAACACCCCTTCGTGACCACAGGTGAGCCCGCGGGCTGTCCCTGGGCTGGGGGGCACTGCCAAAGCCCCCCACCGCGGGGCTGAGCCTGCAGCCGGGGGGCTCTGGAGGTCCTGACCCCCCCGTGCCCCCCAGGCTCGGCTGCCCGCGCCTCGCAGCTGCGGGAGATGCCGCTGGGCGGGTGGGCCGAGGAGGAAGAGGAGGAGGAAGAGGAGACGATGACGTAGCCGGGCCCGGCGCCGGTGGGTGGGGACACGGGGGAGCGGGGACCCCCGGGACTGGGGCATGGAAACCCCCGGGGGTGGGAGATGGAACCCCTCGGGGCTGGGGGACTGGGACCCCCGGGGCTGGGGGACAGGGACTCGGAAGGGACACACTGGGACACGGAGGGGCTGGGGGACACGGGCCCCGGGGCTGGGAACAGGGGCTCCGGGGCTGGGGCTCAGTGGGGGCTGGCTGCCACGTGTGCAGTTTCTGGGGTGCCCAGTGTTGGGGTCCCCAAGTGGCGGGGTCCCCTCCCTGGGGTCCCCGCCCTGGGGTCCCTGCTCGGGGTCCCTGCTGACTCCCCGTTCCCTCTGCAGGGTCCTGGTTGTGCCGAGACCCCCCGGAGGTGCCGGGGGAGCCGCCAGGGGCACAGTGGGGGGCTCGCCGTGCCCACTATGCTGCCAGGGGGGCCCTGTCTGTAGGAGCCCCCTGCTCGGGGCGTCCCTGGTGCCCCCACTATGGTGCAGGGCCAGGGGTGCTGCCAGGGCCCCCCCAGGTGCTGTTTTTGGGGGGCACAGGGCTGGTGCCCCCGTGGTGCCCCGAGCACCAGCTGAAATAAAAGTTTACAGAGGGGCTGTGCCCGCTGGCTGTGCCCGGGGTGAGCTGGGGGTCCTGGGGGGGCGATGCCATGGGTGGGGCCGTGGCAGTTTGGGGTGACCCTGGGGGTCCTGGGCAGGTGGCAGCGGTGGGGCTGGCAGGGGGGGCACTCACCTGCAGCCACACAGGTGGGAGCCACACGACCATGGCTGTGTCCTTGTGCCCCCCATCTCCCACCCGTCAGAGCCACGGGCTGTGTCCTTGTGCCCCCCGTTTCCCACCCCCCGTGTCTGGAGCGTGGCCAGGTGTCCCCAGAGGTGTCACACAGTGCCACCTCCCGTGTCCCCAGTGCCACCGCAGGAGCCGGAGTGTCGGGCCGGGGGTATCAAAACTAAACCTTTACTGGGGGGTGGCGGGACGGGGGCACAGCCGCGGGGAGCCCCTGTCCCCGCTGTCCCCGTGTCCCCGCTGTCCCCGTGTCCCCGCTCAGGGGGCGGGCCCCGCGGGGCGCCGCTCCTGCAGGGAGAAGGACTGGCTGCGGATGCGCAGGGCCACCTCCTGCGTGCGGAACGTCAGCCCGAAGATGTCCTCGTGGTAGCGGTTCTTGTCCTGCGGGACAGCTGTCAGGGCCGGGCCGCCACCCGCGCCGTGCCACAGGTGTGTCCCCGCGGTGTCCCGGCTGCCAGCCCTTACCCTCAGCTCGCTGATGACGTCCCCCGCCTGGCCCAGCGTCATGTCGCCCTCCTGGGCCAGGATGTGCTGCACGGTCTGCAGCACCTCGGTGGCCATGGTGACGTCCCCGCACACGTACATGTGTCCCCCGCGCTGGCAGAGCACCTGGTGCACCTCGGCTGCCAGCTGTGCCCGCAGCACGTCCTGCACGTACGTCTGGGGACACACGGGGACCGCGGCGTGCTGCAGCCACCCACCCAGCGTGTGCGCAGCTCCCCATCCCGCCCCGACCCCCGGGTGCTGTCCCTGTCCTTGGCAGCGTCCCCAGCCCCTCACCTCCAGCGCTGGCCTGGTGTGCCACCTGGCCCCTCCGTTTCCACCCTCACCTCGTCCTTGTCCCCAGCTCCGCGCCCGTCCCCACTGTCCCCACTCCGTCCCCATCCCCACGCCTTGCCCACGGGCTGTCCCCACTCGGGCTGTCCCCACTCGGGCTGTCCTCACTCGGGCTGTCCCCACTCGGGCTGTCCCCACGGGCTGTCCCCATGGGCTGTCCCCACTCGGGCTGTCCCCACGGGCTGTCCCCTCGGGCTGTCCCCACGGGCTGTCCCCGTCCCCACGGGCTGTCCCCATGGGCTGTCCCCACTCGGGCTGTCCCCACTCGGACTGTCCCCAGGGGCTGTCCCCACGGGCTGTCCCCACTCGGGCGGTCCCCACTCGGGCTGTCCCCACGGGCTGTCCCCACTCGGGCTGTCCCCATGGGCTGTCCCCATGGGCTGTCCCCACTCGGGCTGTCCCCCCGGGCCGTCCCCCGCACCTTGGGGCTGCCGGGCTCGCGGGAGAAGGCGGTGAGCACCCGGCTGAGCGCGCCCTGCTGCCGCGCCTGCTCCATCTCCTCGCGGTAGATGTGGTCCAGGGCGGAGGAGCGGCACCCGAACACCAGCACCATGGGGCCCAGGGGGCCGCCTGCAGGGGACAGCGTCCTCGTGTCCCCACAGCCCCGCTCGCCCTGTCCTGCAGCCCCCCAGTCCCCACACCCCCGTGTCCCCAGGCTCCATCCCCTTCCCCGTGTCCCCATATCCCCTTCATCACTGTCACGTCTCTCATCCTCCATCCCAGTGCCACCATGTTCCTGTGCCCATGTCCCCATGTCCCCACAACCCTCCCATCCTCAAGTCCCTGTCCCCACATCCTCCCAGCCACCTGTCCCGCCGTCCCCATCCCATGTCACTATTTCTCCGTCCCCTTCTCCTGGGCCCCCGTGGCCCCTGTACCCTGCCCCAGCCCCCGTGTCCCCATGCCCCCCGGGGTAGGCTGGGATGTGCAGGGAGGGCAGGTAGGGGACAGGGATGCAGGCACGGGGGACAGGGATGGAGGCAGGGGACAGGGAGGGGGGACAGGGGACAGCGAGGGCACGCAGGACACAGGCTGCAGCACAGCGACCCCTTACCCCCGGATGAAGGCTGGCACCGTGTCCCCCGGCTGCAGCCGCGCCAGCCACGTGGAGCAGACGCCGTAGTGCAGGGGACCCTGCCCGTCTGTGGGGACCAGAGGGGACCGGTGGGGGCGGTCCCAAGGCAGCCCCTCACGGAGCCCCCGAGGGGCTGGGCACTCCTCTGTGCCCGGGCAGGGCACCTGAAGGTGCTCTGGGGACACCGGAGGTGTTCTGGAAACCCCGGCGAGGAGCTGAGGTGCCCCGGAGCCCCCGGAGGTGCCCTGGGGGTGCCCCGGAGGTGCCCTGGGGGTGCCCCGGGGGTGCCCCACCGCCCGTGCCCATCCCGCCGCTCACTCTCGCTGTGGTAGGTGACGACGGCCACGGTGAGGTGGATCTCGCCCGGGTGGGCGCCGGGCGCGGAGCTGATGGAGTAGTAGCGGGGCTGGAGCAGCGGGAGCTGGGAGAGCAGCAGCGCGGCGGGCAGAGCCACGGACGGGAACTCGGCCAGCACCTCCGGCAGCGTCGGGCACCGGAACCACTTCCACTCCTCGTAGAGCCGCGCGTCCTGCGGGCACACGGCTGGCACGCCGGGGACCCCGCACGCGGCCCCGGGACCCCCAGGCCTGGCCCAGCCCGGGTGGGGGGCAGCGTCCCGGTGCCCGATGAGGGAGCGGATCAGCGCCCCGGGATCAGGGAGGGGATCAGCAGCCCAGTGTCCGGCTGCAGGGCAGCTGGCATCCCGGCAGCGCAGTGCCGCAGCCAGAGGGGGAGTGGGCACCGCGGTATCCCAGCCCCCAGCACCCCCAGCCCCCCCAGCCCCCCTCCGGGGGTGCCCCCCGCCCCCTGACCTGCGCCAGGCGCTGCAGCCGCTCCCGCTCGGCCGGGTCCCGAGCCAGCGAGCCCAGGAGCTGCAGGAACTGCGGGCTCGGGGGCGCCGCCACGTCCAGGTAGAAGGTGAGAGCCTGGGCCAGGGTGCAGGGGGGCAGCCGCGGCTGCAGCACCCAGCGGGGCCCGGGGCTGGCCCCGCCTGGGGAGGGGATTGTGCCGCTCAGTTCGGCCGTTTCCTTCCCCGAGCCCTTCCACTTTCCTTCCTCCCCCGCCAAGTCCTAACCCCTTTGTCTTCTTCTTCCTCACTCCCTTCACATTCCTTTCCCCAGCCCCTTCCTCTCTCTTCCCCTGCCCCAGCTTCTTCCCTTTCCCCTTCCTCTTTCTCTTCCCAAGCCTCGCCCCCTCCCCATCTTCCCGCGGGACCCCCCTCCTGTCCCTCTCCGGTACCGGTGGAGTCTCCACCACCCCCCTGTGACTGGGCTCCCCCAAGCCCCCCGTGTCCCCCCGTACTGAGGGAGGGACTGGATGGTGATGAGGGGACACGGAGGGACTGGGGAGGAGCAGGGGTTTGGGGTGACATGGAGGGGCTGGGGGCTGGGAGTCATGGGGTGAGGGGAAGGCTGGGGGGAACCAAAGGGTCTTGGGGAGGTCGTGAGGGGCAGGAGGAGTCCCGGGCGGGGCTGGGGACTGACCCCACAGAGCTGTGGGGTGTGAGGGGATCCCACGGGGTGCTCGGGGGGTGCCGTGGGGTGTCCCGGGAGGTTGGCGAGAGGCGGGGGGTGACACGGGGAGTGGGGGGTCCCGCAAGGTTTGGGGGGGTCCCGGGGGGCTCGGTACCGGCCAGAGTCTCGGTGGCCTGCGGCTGCGGCACCAGCCGGTGCCGGTGGCGCTTCCAGCCCTGCGGCGGGGCGAACAGCTCCTCGGCGCCCCCCGCCCCGTCCCCCACGCAGAAGGTCTCGCAGGCAGCCTGGGGGCGCGGGGGGCGGTGGGTGCCAAGCGGGGGGCCCGTGGGTGCCCCCCGCCCGGTACCTGGAGGAGCAGGGGTGCCCAGGGGCAGAGCGGCTCCCGAGGGCCCCCGGCCCCGTACCTGGAACACCTGGCGTGCCCAGGTGCGGAAGGACTCCTCCTGCGCGCACAGCTCGTCGCCCTCGCCCAGGGGCAGCACCCGCTCCCCGCCCAGCTCCTCCAGCCGCGTGTCCACGGCCCGCGCGAACGCACAGAAGTGGGGGTACGCCCGGGACCCCAGCCCGAACACCGCGAACCTGCGCAGGGTGGGGGTGAGGCTCCCCAGGGGTGTGGGGGTGTGCCCGGGACCCCAACCCCAACACCACCAGCCTGGGCGGGGGTGCTCTGGGGGATCCCCAAAGTCAGAGGGGCCTGGCCATTATCAGGCATTACATGGGGGGTCACGGGGGCTCCTGTCCCCACCCACACCCGCAGGGCAGACGGGGCTGCAGCTGCCGGTGCCGGTGTGAGCCCTGTGCCCAGCCCCAGCAGGGCAGCGTGCCCAGGCAAGGAGCCCGTCCCCATCCCTGTTCCCTGGCTGTGCCCATCCCTGTGGTCTGGGCACCACAGCACTCCCGACGTGCCCAGGCCAAGGAGCCCATCCTGTGCCCATCCCCATGGCCATTCCCTGTCCCTGTGACCGTGCCCATCCCCTGCCCATCCCGTGCCCATCCTATGCCCATCCCGTGCCCATCCCCATGGCCATGTCCATCCCGTGCCCATCCCCACGGGTGTCCATCCAGTGCCCATCCCTGTCCCTGTGACCGTGCCCATCCCCATGGCTGTCCTGTGGCTGTGCCCATCCCAGTGCCCATCCCATGCCCATTCCGTGTTCATCCCATGTCCATCCCATGTCCATCCCTGTCCCTGTGACTGTGTCTATCCCATGCCCATCCTGTGCCCATCCTGTGCCCATCCCCATGGCCATGCCCATCCTGTGCCCATCCCGTGCCCATCCCCATGGCAATGTCCATCCCATGTCCATCCCAGTGCCCATCCTGTGTCCATCCCGTGCCCGTCCCAGTGCCCATCCCGTGTCCATCCCCGTGGCCATGTCCATCCCGTGCCCATCCCGTGCCCATTCTGTGCCCATCCCCATGGCCATGTCCATCCCGTGCCCATCCCCACGGCAATGTCCATCCCATGTCCACCCCGTGCCCGTCCCCGTGGCCTCGGTACCGCAGGGCTCCCAAGGTTCCCGCACTGTCGGTGTTGCTCAGCTGCCGCCGCTTCTTCTTCCAGGAGGACACGAGCTGGTCGGACTGGGAGACGCTGTTGAAGCGCAGCTTGTAGCTCCTGGGGGTGTCAGGAGGGTCAGGGGGGTCGGGGGGATCCTGCCCCGGGCCCAACAGGGACCCCCAGGACCCCCGCGGTGCTCACATGGGCGGCTCCGCCTGGGAGGTGCCGGTGTAGGGCGAGGTCATCTCCATCAGGGCCTTGGAGAAGCTCTGTGGGGGCAGAGTGTCACCCCCACACCCCATCCCCACCCCGTCGGAAGAGGGGTCGGGGGTCTGTGGGACCGGACCCACCTAGTCCCAGAATGTGAACTGGGGGTCATGGGGAGCACTGGGGGGCTCGTGGGGGTCTGGGGAGAGCCCCAGCTGGGTGCTGGAGCGTCCCAGGGGATGCTGTGGGGTGTCCCGGGGCAGCTGTGGGGTGATGCCAGGGCAGGGTGGTGCAGAGGGCTGGGGGTGCCACGGGGATCAGTGGTGCCCAGGGCAGGCACAGAAAGTCCTGGGGGGTCCAGGGGGCTCCGTGGCAGCTGACCGAGTGTCTCAGTGCCCTGGGAGGGGGCAGAGGGGCTGGGGAGCCATGGAGCACGGAGGGTCTGTGGGTCCCAGCCCACACCTGGCATCAGGAGGGGCTGTGGGGCAGGGTCTGTGGGGCAGGGTCCCACCTGGTAGCGGAAGGAGGGGCTCAGCTGGTAGTTGACCATCTCCTGGTGGAACACGGGGGTGAGGCTGCCCGAGAGGGGGGGCACGATCCAGGCCCAGTCCGCGGGACACCCCCCCCGCGCCCGCCCCTCGGCCGCCAGGTGCTTCATGAAGGACTCGGTGGCCGCGTGGTGGTCCACGATGGTCACCTGGGCCACCTGCGGGGACAGGGGGCATGGCAGCGTGGGCATGGGGGCGTGCCCGAGGCCCGGCGCTGCGGGGCTCCTGCACTGAGGGTGCCCCGGTACAGGGGTCCCAGCCGTGGGGAGCTCCCGGCAAGGGGGACCCCCGCAGTGTGGGGGTCCCGGCGCGGGGTCCCACCTGGAAGCTGTGCAGCACGGCCACGTTCACCTCCACAGCCGCCCGGTCCTTCCAGAGGGACGAGCTGCTGCCTGTGTCCAGCCCCATGCGCTCGGCCACCTCCTGCGGGGGTCGGCGGGGCACGGTGGGCCGGGGTCAGCCGGGGGGGTCCCCGAGGGGTCCCGGGTGGGGTCCTAGGGGTGTCCTTGGGGTGCCAGAGGGCTCCCGGGGGGAATTCTGGGGGAGGTCCCGGGAGTGACCCAAGCATGGTCCTGGTGGGGGTCTCGGGGGGGTTCTGGATGGGCCTGAAGGGGGTCCCAGCGTGGTCCCAGTGGGGGTCGCTGGGGTGTTCTGGGGGAGCCAGTGTGGGTCCCAAGGGAAATATTGGGGACTACCAGAGGGCTCCCAGGAGGGGTCTTATGCAGCCCCGGGGGTCCCAGCGCGGCCCCGGGGTCCCTGTGCAGTCCCGAGGTCCCTGTGCAGCCCCGGGGGTCCCAGTGCAGCCCCGGGGTCCCAGTGTGATCCCGGGGATCCCAGTACAATCCCGGGGGTCCCAGTGTGATCCCGGGGGTCCCAGTACAATCCCGGGGTCCCGGCGCGGCCCCGCGGGGCCGGGGGCTCACGGGCAGCACGTCGTAGCGGTGGCGGTCGCAGAGGTTGCGGGAGCCGATCTCGGTGCCCATGTACCAGCCGTTGAAGGGCGCCGCGGGGAACTCGAGCCCCCCGATCTCCAGCAGCAGGTTGGCCACGGCCGGCAGGGCGTGCCAGCGCAGCCCCAGCTCCGAGAACCACTCCAGCCTGGGGGCACGGGGGCTGTGAGCGCGCCCGCACGGCCAGCCCGGCCCCACAGCCCCGCCTGGGCAGCCAGCCCGGCCCCACAGCCCCCATCCGCCCGCACCACACCCAGGGAGGGTCAGCACACCCGTGGCTCCGTCAGGGGGATCAGCAGCCCGGCATTCCCGGATCCAGGAGGGGGTCAGCAGCCCAGGATCCCAGCCCGGGAAGGGCTCAACAACCCCCAGCATTCCCGCACCGCCAGGGAGGGGATCAGACCCGCGGCTGCTCCCTGTCCCAGCGCGGTTCCCCAGCCTCCATGCCCCGCTCCTTCCCCTCTCCAGCCCCCCCCGGGGTGACCCCGGGCTCTCCAGCCCCGTCACCGGGCCAGTCCCGGGGCCAGGGGGATGGCGGGGGCCGCACTCACGTGGGGTGCTGCAGCGGCACCTCGAGCACCAGCTCCGGGGGCAGCGGGAACAGCTCGGGGGACTCGTCGGGGCCCTGCAGCAGCAGCGGCAGCACGTCGAAGCGGCCGCCCCCGGGGGTCCAGCCGTGTTGGATGCAGAGCTGGGGGCACAGCGGCACGGGGGCTCCAGGAGGTGCTGAGGGGCGCGGGGATCGGGGGAGATGAAGGGCATGGGGGGGATGGAGGGGAGTGGAGTGGTACGAGGAGGGAGGAGGAAGAGAGGCGGAGCGGGGACGGAGGGCGGCACGGGGGGAGGACTGGGGCGGGGATGGAGAGGGAAGAGAGGAGGGGCAGGAGGCGGCGAGGGGGCCTGGGGGCGCAGGGGTCCCCCCACCTCGGTGATGTCCACATTGGCAGGGTCGCCGCGCACGGAGCCGTCGGGCTGCCGGTAGCCCGCGTAGCGGATCAGCTGCGGGTTCCAGATGCGGAAATCGCCGCGGCCCGGAGCCCGCGGGGGGAAGATGGTGATGGCCGACCTGGGGGGGCCGGGGGGGCCGTCAGGACACCCTGCGGCCGCGGGGCCCGGGGGGCAACGGGGGGATTCTCACCGAATGTTGCCGCGGTTGGTGGCGAACTGGATGTGGGAGCAGAGGAGGCTGAACATCTCCCCCAGCCCCGCGCAGTCCCGGGCGTCAAACACCTGCGGGGACAGGGGTGTGGGGACCCTGCAGGGCAGGCGGGATGGGAGCCCCGGGGCAATCTGCGGCCGGGCCCCTTTGGGACGGGGTCCCCACGGCGCGGGGGTGGCGTGGAGTCTTTGTTGGGGTGGGAGCTCCCTGTGGAGCCGGGGCCCGTGGCACGGGGTGCCGTCAGTCAGGGTCCCCCGGGTCCCCGTGCTGCAGCTGCGAGGCGGGGTCTCTGTGGGGCGGGGGTCACCCCAGGGCACGGGACATGGGGTGAGGGTCCCCGCGGTGTGGGGGTGCTGTTCCCCGGGGGTACCCCTGAGGTGGGGTGGGGCTCCTGTGGGGTGGCTCGGGCTGCCTTTGGGTTTGTCCCCAGCCGTCTGAGGTATGTCCCCGCGGGCTGTGGCGGGTGGGGGTCCCGCGGGGGCCGCACCTGCAGCTTGTTCCACTGGATGCGGCCGACGCAGCGCGCCGCGTTCCGCCAGGCCTGCTTGGCCCCGAAGGCCAGCTCGGGCTCCCGCAGCCGGTACGAGCCCGAGGCCGCGATGTCGGCCGCCACCTCCCGCAGCCGCTGCGTGTGCGCCGGCGAGTTCTCCCTGCAGGGGCACCCTCAGCACCCGCGGACACCGCGACCGCCCCCCGGCACCCCCAGACACCGGCAGGTAGGGGGGCCAAGCAGCGCCAGGGGAGAGGGCTGCTCTGGGGCACGGACGGGGCTGTGGGGTGTGCCAGGGCAGGGATGGGGATCTGGGTGTACTCTGGGGGAGAGGTGGGGGTACGGGGCACCCCAGGGCACGGCAGGAGCTGTGGGGGTACCCTGGCGTGCAGGTGGGGATGTGGAGTGCTCTGGGCAGGGACGGGGCTGGGGGTGCTCTGCGGCAGGGGTGGGTTTTGGGGTGTCCCAGGACAGGGACTGGGATATGGACGTGTTTCTATGGAGGGGTGGGGCTATGGGGTGCCCTGGGGCTGTGGGGTGCCTTGGCTCAGGGGAGGTCCAGGCTGTGGGGTGGAATGGGGCCGCAGGCAGGGCTGGGGATGGGCTGTAAGTGCCCCGGGGTGCCCGGGCAGGGCTGGCGGTGTGCCCGTGCCCGCTGGGGGGTTCCGTCCGCGCTCACCGCCGCAGGGACACGTAGTACTGGGTGATGAAGTCCCGGGCCAGCTCCAGCAGCTCCTCGGGCGGTCGCGTCCCCTCGGGGGTGGGGGCGGCCAGCGGCCGCGGCAGCACCAGCGACCCCAGGCAGCGCAGCCCCGAGCAGGGCAGCTCCTGGGGGGGCACCAGGTGACCCCCGGGAGCGACATTTCCGTCCTTGTATCCCCGCCCACGCCTGGCACCCCACAAACCTGCACCCCAGCCCTGCCCCCTGACTTCAGGCCCCCATCTGCCTCCTGTCCTGCAGCCCCAATCCGCAGCTCCAACCTGCGCCGCCATTCCCCTGCCCGCTTCCCCTCTCCCGTGCCCCCTGCGCGTGCCCCCTGCCCGTGCCCCCTCTCTGAGCTGGGGGGATCAGAGGATGCCGGGACAGGGGGACGGGATGGGGGGCTGAGCCGGGACGCCAGGGAATGGGAGATCAAGATGTGGGGGGCTGAGTCGGAGGGGTCAGGAGTTGAGGGGTCAGGACGGAGGGGGCGCGGGGCGTTCCTCGTGTGAGTGTGAACAATGGCCATGAGTCAGAGCGGGCTCCGCGCCACCGCGGGGGGAGGACACGGGTCCCTTCCGAGCCCCTCCGAGGTGCGGGGTCTCCGCGCCTCCATCCCCACAGGACCCCACAGACCCCTCCCCGTATGTCCCCTATATGTCCCCAGATGCCGCTCGGCCCAGTGGGTCCCGTGGGCTGCGGGGGCCGCGCCGTGGGACAGGAGATACTGTCACGGTGCCACGGGCAGCGGGCACAGGGCTCTGCTGCCGGCGGGCTCCGTGCTCTGTCCCAGTGCCCCCACGAGCCTCCCCGGCGGGGACACCTCCCCGGCGGGGACACTTCCATGGCGGGGACATCTCCATGGCGGGGACACCTCCACAGCCGGGTCACCTCCACGGCGGGGACACGTCTCCGGTGGCCTCGGGCCATGTGCGAGCGTCCCCGCGAGCCAGAAGGGGGTCCCCGAGGAGGCTCGGAGCTGCGGCAGGTGAGTGCCCGTGCCCCGGAGCCCCGTCCGTCCTTTCCGCCCCGTTCCTCCCCATGCCAGCCCGCCCGTCCCACCTGGGCACGCACCTGGGCGGCTCGGTGACAGCGGCGGGGGCGGCGGTGACAGGGGGGTCCTCGGGCGCGGGGCCGCGCGGGCGCGAGCAGAGGCCGAGGCCGGGGCAGGCGCGGGGGGCGCCGGGCAGGACCCCCGGCAGGTTCCCCATCGCGGCCCCTCTGAGCCGGGAGCGGCCGCTTCCCGCTTCCTCCTGCCCGGGGAAATGGTGACGAGGCCGCGACGCCCCCGCCCCGCACACAATGGGCACCGCCACCTCCGCCGCCACCGCCACCGCCACGCGGCGGGGACACAGCGGGGACCCCACGGCGGGGAGTGGCACCCCGGCTGCCCCCGCGCCCTGGCATGTGGGCATGGGGAGGGAGCGATGGCACCCAGAGAGGGGGACACGGCACTCGTGGCGGGGACATGGCTTTGGGGGGACTTGGGAGCACACATGACACCCGGGGGGACACAGCCCTGGGGGAGACAGGGAACTGGGCGGATATGTGGCATGGGGGGCACGCATGGCAGCTGGGGGGGCACATGGCACCTGTGGGGACACAGCACTGAAAAGGACATGGCACCCACGGGGATCGGGGGGACACACGTGGCGCCGGGGGATCATACACATTGCACTGGGGTGCACACGGCACCCTGGGGACACAGCGATGGCACCCAGAGGGAGGACACGGCCCTCACGGGGGACGCACAGCGCTCGGGGGGCCGCGGTGGTGGCAGGGACCCCCATCCTGGCCACAGCACACTGTACCCTCCCCACCTTTTCACGGAGCGATCGGATGCCCCGGGGGGGTCCCGGGCCGCCCCCAGCCCCCCGCCGTGGGGCGGATGTCCTGCGGGACCCCCCCGCTTCCCGCCGCTTCCACCCAGTTCCGGCCATTGACGCGCTGGGCGCTGCCGGGGACCCCGGGTCAGCGCCCCTGGGGGAGCCAGGCGGGGGGTGCACCCCGCGACCCTCCGGGGGGACCCTGGGAACCGCGCGGGGTGGGGTTCACCCCAGTGCCGGCGGGGAGGGTCCTACGGGGACCCCGGAGTGGGGCGGGGGTCGCCACCCGGACCCCACAAACACACCCGGACCCCACAATCCCCGCCCGGCTCGGCTGAGCCCCGCTCGGTCTGCTCTGTCTGGTCACGTTTGGTCGGTGTGGTCAGTCCGGTGGGTCCATTCGTGTCCGGTCGGTCCATTAGGGGGTGGTCGGTCCCGGTCGGTCCATTCAGGTCCGTTCGGGTCCATTCAGGTCCGTTCGGGTCCTTTGGTGGCCGCTGGGAGCCGCTCGCAGCCGGTCGGCGCAGCCGGTCCGGTCGGGTCCGGTCGGGTCCGGTCGGACCCGGTTGGCACACCCAGCCCGGCCGGACCGGCTGGTTCCGTCCGTCTATTGGGGCCGTTCGGGTCCGGTTGGTCCGCCCGGGTCCGATCACGCCGGTCGGTCCCCGCGGTGGCGGCCCCGGGACCGGAGCGTTTTCAGCACCTGGGACAGAGACCGGGAGCATCCGGCCAGCGCCGGGCTCGGGACAGAGCGGGACCGGGCCGGAACGGGCACCGGGACCTGGGGCTGGACCGGGCTCTGACCGGGACTGACACCGGGGCCGGAGGAGAACTGGGGCTGGACTGGGCTGACGTGGGACTGGGATCGGCACTGGGACCAGGACCGTGGCTGGGACTGGGACTGGTCTGGACTGGGATTGGTCTGGACTGGGACAGTGCTGAGACCCAGACTGGACTGGGACAGCACTGAGACCCTGCCTGGACTGGGGCTGGTCTGGACTGGGACAGTGCTGAGACCCTGCCTGGACTGGGACTGGTCTGGACTGGGATTTGGACTGGATGGAGACTGGTACTGGAACCAGACTGGACTGGGACTGGACTGGAAAGGGGACTGGGATTAGGATTTAATTGGGACTGTGACTGGACTGGGATTGGGACAGGGACCACAGCTGGCCAGGACAGGGACTAGATGGGTCTGGGCTGAGACTGGGACAGGACTGGGACGGGACAGGACTGGGATGGGACAGGACTGGGAGGGGACAGGACTGGGACGGGACAGGACTGAGAGTGGGACAGGACTGGGATGGGACAGGACTGAGAGTGGGACAGGACTGGGAGCGGGACAGGAACCAGGACGATGACAGAGACTGGAGCTGGGATTGGCTGCAGATTGGGATTAGGCTGGGATGGGCCTGGCCTGGGGCCGGTACTGAGCTAGCCTGGGCAGAGGGTTGGGCTGGGCTGGCACGGCAGGGCTGGGGCCGGGAGCTCCCCCGGAGCCCAGCTGGGCTGTGCCTGGACGCTGCGTGTCCCACTGTCCCACTGTCCCACTGTCCCTGTGTCCCTGTGTCCCAGTGTCCTGGTGTGCCAGTGTCCCCAAATCCCGATGTCCCCATGTCATGGTGTCCCCCTGTGCTTTACTCTGGTGTCTTGGTGTCTAAACGTACCCATGTCCCTGTGTCCCTGTGTCCCAGTGTCCCAGTGTCCCGATGTCCTGGTAACCCAGTGTCCCCGTGTCCTCATGTCCAGGTGTCTTCATGTTCCGGTGTCTCCATGTCCCCATGTTCCTGTGTTCCCATGTCCTGGTGTCCTTGTGACCCCGAGTCCCTGTGTCCCCATGTCCCTGTGTCCCCATGTCCCCATGTCCTGGTGTCCCCATGCCACCAAGCCCCCGAGCCCTGGTGTCCCCATGTCTCCGTGTCTCCGTGTCCCTTCATGTCCGTGTGCCTCCAAGCCCCGTGTCCCCATGCCCCCATGTCCCCGTGTCGCACCTGTCGGGTGTGCGGCCTGGCTGCCAGGCGGGGCTGTCCCCGGTCTGTCCCCGGTCTGTCCCCGGGCTGTTCCCGGGCTGTCCCCGGTCTGTCCCCGGTCTGTCCCCGGGCTGTTCCCGGGCTGTCCCCGGTCTGTCCCCGGGCTGTCCCCGGTGGGGGGGCGGTGCGGGGCACCCGGCCGCGCCCGCCCGAGCCCAGCCGAACGCGGCCGGGCCGAGCCGAGCCGAGCCCAGCCGAACCCAGCCCAGCCGAACCGCGCCGAACCCCGCCGAGCTCGCCCGAGCTCAGCCGAACCGGGCCGGGCCGAGCCGCCGCAGCCGCACCGAACCGAACCGAAGCGGGCCGAACCGCGCCGCACCGCGCGGGCCGAGCCCGGCTCAGCCCGGCCGTTCCGAACGGCGCCGAGCCGCTTCCTGGACACCATCATCCGCAAGTTCGAGGGGCAGAGTGAGTGGGGGAGCCGGGCCGGGACCTGGGGGGCCCGGGGGGGATCGGGAGACACCGGGGAGCACCGGGGGGAGGGCAGTGAGGGGGCTGTGGCCCTGGGGGGTCTCAGCCCGGCCGTTCCGAACGGCGCCGAGCCGTTCCGACCTGTTCCGGGCGGCGCCGAGCGCGCGGGGCGGGTCCCGGTCCCCCCCGGCCGCTCCGTGACTAAATAAGGCCGATGGCGCGGCGCGCACCGGGCGGCTAGAGCGGGGGGGCTCGGCCCCGCCGCCCCCCGCCGGGGGGGATCGGGAGACACCGGGGAGCACCGGGGGGAGGGCAGTGAGGGGGCTGTGGCCCTGGGGGGGTTGAGGTGACAGGGAGGGACCCTGCTGACCCGGGCGTGCGGCGTCGCCAGCTCCAGGTGGGCTTGGGGTGGCGGGGACAGACCGGCCTGGCGGGGATTGCTGCCCGCCCTGCCCTCCAGCCGCCCCTGCCTCGGGGGTGCCGGGACCGGGCCTTCCCCACCGCCCCCCAGGTGTGGAGCCCCCGCCGCCAGCTCAGGCTGCTGCGGGGCTGGGGGTGCCCTGGCCCGTGCCCCCCGCACTGCCCCGCAGCTGGTCAGGGGTCCTGGCGGAGTGGGGGTCTGGGACGCTCAAAATCTGGGGGTTCCCAGCGCCTCGCTGGGGTCAGGCCCTGGGCATCCCCAGCCTGGAGACAGGGCAGGGGTCTGGGGGGAGCGCTGCCCTGGGTCGGGCTGGGGGTGTCACCTGCTGGGGGACGGGCTGGGGCGGTGGGGGTCCCAGGGTCCCCATGGTAGTGCTGTCCTTAGGGGGTCTCTGCAGTTATGGGGGTCCCCGTGGTGATGAGGGGGTCCCAGAGTCCCTGCTCTTGGGGGGTCCCTGCAGGGCTGGGAGCCCCTGGGTCCCCGTGGCTGTGGGGTCCCTGCTCTTGGGGTGTCCCTGAGGTGCTGGGAGCCCCTGGGTCCCCGTGGTTATGGGGTCCCTGCTCTTTGGGGGTCCCTGAGGTGCTGGGAGCCCCTGGGTCCCCGTGGTTATGGGGTCCCTGCTCTTTGGGGGTCCCTGCGGTGCTGGGAGCCCCTGGGTCCCCTGTGATGGTGGATCCCAGCGGTCCTGGGGTCCCCCCGGTGGGGATGGCACCAGCTGAGGGGTCCCCGGGGAGCGGGCGGGGGGACTCGCGGTGTGTGTGTCCCCGGGGAGCGCAGAGCCGGGGGTCGATGGGTGCAGGGGACCCCGCCGCGGGCTGCCGGGCCGGGGGGCTCCAGCCTGACCCCCGCCCCTGTCCCGCCAGGCCGCAAGTTCATCATCGGGAACGCGCGCGTGGAGAACTGCGCCGTGATCTACTGCAACGAGGGCTTCTGCCGGCTCTGCGGGTACTCGCGGGCCGAGGTGATGCAGCAGCCCAGCACCTGCGAGTTCCTGCACGGCCCGCGCACCCAGCGCCGCGCCGCCGCGCAGATCGCCCAGGCGCTGCTGGGCGCCGAGGAGCGCAAGGTGGAGATCTGCTTCTACCGCAAGGATGGTACGGGCCGGGCCCGCGGGGACAGCGGGCACAGCGGGCACAGCGGGGCTGCCCCTGCCGCCAGGGTGGCACTGCCCCCGGGGCCTGGGGGACAGGGCTGGTGGCAGGAGCTGATGGCTCAGCTGCAGCCCAAGGGACCCTGGCAGCCCCGGGGGACCCTGGCAGCGCTCTCCAACACCGTGGTGGCTCCCAGCAGGGTGCCAGCCTGGCGCTGGTGGCCCCAGATGGGCACCAGCCCCCTGCGAGTCCTCAGCCCCTCCTGGTGCCATGGTGGCCACCACGTGGGGCCAGGGAGCCACCAGGTGTTGTGGGGGGCAGTGATCCCCGCAGGGGGGCTGTGTCACCTGCAGCAGCGACAGGGGAGCGGGTGGGGGGCTGTGTCACCTGCAGCAGGGACAGGGAGCGGGTGGGGGGCTGTGTCACCTGCAGCAGGGACAGGGGAGCGGGTGGGGGGCTGTGTCACCTGCAGCAGGGACAGGGGAGCAGTGGACAGGGCTGTGTCACCTGCAGCAGGGACAGGGGAGCCCACAGGGGGGCTGTGTCACCTGCTGCAGGGACAGGGGAGCACATAGGGGGGCTGTGTCACCTGCAGCAGGGACAGGGGAGCAGTGTGCTGAGCTGGGGTCACAGTGCCACATCCCCGGGGTTGTGTGGAGCACCGGGCAGGTGACACCCCGGTCCCCCTGTCCCCAGAGCCTGGGCCGGGCTGGCTCCCCGCCTTGGCAGTGCTGGTGCTTCCCCTGGCCGTGGCCCCATGCCAGTGCCAGGTGTCCCGGCTGTCACCACAGCTGTCCCGGCTCTGGGCACAGGGCCCCGGTTCCGGTGCTGGAGTAAACAAAGCTGGTGCCAGCTGCCATGCGGAGCCACCGTGGAGCCCGCGAGGTGGGCTGGGGCCACAGGCACCCTGCTGGCCCTGGCACCCTCGCCGTGCCGCGGGGCTGTGCCTGGCACGCCCCGTGCCCCTTGGACTGTGCCGTGCCTGGGCTCCGGGGCACAGCTGGCCACGGGTGCCCCCCTGGAGCCTTGTTGTGCCCCCGTTGGGGTGACACTGATCGGCCTGCTGGGTGCCACAGGGGTGGGGGAAATGGGGCCCTCCTTGGGCCCCCAGAGAGCCCGACACCCCCGGCTGTGCCCCCCGAGCAGCGTGGGGGTCTCGCCCCTTGGCAGCCCTCGCGTGCTGCCAGGGAGAGGTGGGACAGGGGGTCCCAGCAGTGATGAGGGGTCCCAGCCCCTGGGAGCCTCTGTGGGGCCCATGGGGAAGTGTGGTGGGGGCGCTGGGGGTGCTCTGGGAGCCCCACCGGGACAGGGCAGTCCATGGGGACCGGCTGTCCCCTGGGCTGGGGAGGGACCCTGGCCGTGAGGTGGCTCTGGGGGTCCTGGGCCCCTTGGCCAGTGGCTGCTGCGGGGGGTGCCGGCCCTGGGGGCTGCACTGGTGCCACCGTGGGGGTCTCCTGCCCGCCCCAGCCGCCGTGTGAGGGTGCTGGTGGGGGTCACTCACTGCACCGGGCCCCCCAGGCGCCGTGGGGCAGGGACCCTGCTGCGGGTGGCTCCGGCGTGCCCGGTGCTCCCGCTGTCGCTGCCGCTCCCGGGGTGCCCTGGGGACCGTGGTGCGGTGCCCAGCGGTGCCCTGCAGCCCCCGGCCGAGCCCCCCGGTGTGCCGGTGCCGCGTCCTGGCGGCCGGAGCCGCGCTGGAGCCGCCGCCGCTGCTGCAGCCATTTGTCTTGGCGACGGGTTGTTTACGGAGCCGGGGACGCGCGGAGGTCACGCCGCCCGTGGGGCACCTGCGTCCCGCGGGGACACCGAGGGGACCCCGGGCTGCGGGGGGGCGGGGAGGGGGCACCCGCGCCCCCAGTGCTGCTGTGGCCTTTGGGGACCCCCCGTGCGCGGCCCCCGCTGCTGGTGGGGGGTGGGACCTTGTCCCTGTGCCACCTCGGGCTGTGGGGTGCCCTGTGCCACAGGGGTGTCCCCAGCCTGGGGGTGCAGGGGGCTCCTCGCTGCGGGTCCCCGGGCAGTGGGTGCGGTCAGGGGGTGCAGGGATGGGGGAACAGGGATGTCCCCCACTTTGGGGGTCCTGGTGCCCCGTGGCGGTCACGGGGAGCGCTGGGGGTGCTGGGGTGCAGTGAGGGGTGCAGGGATGGGGGAACAGGGATGTCCCCCACTTTGGGGGTCCTGGTGCCCCGTGGCGGTCACGGGGAGCGCTGGGGGTGCAGCGAGGGGGTGCAGGGGGATTTGGGACACAGCTCTGGAGGTCGGCAGTGCACTGAGGGGGCCAAGGGGCGGTCCCCTTGCAGCGGGGTGTCCTGTGTCACTACGGTGCCCCCGTGCCCCCCGGGACAGCCCCCGGCAGCCGGACCCGAGCTGTGCGGGAGCCGCCGTGCCCGCGGGTGGGTGCCGCGGGTCCCCCGGGGGCGCTGGCTCGGCCGGGACCCCGCGGGAGCCCGGGGCCACCGTGTGCCCCGCCGTGCTGGCCCCCGGCCCCGCGCGCGTCGGGGAATCCCCCCGCCGCGGGCACGGGAGCAGGGACGGTGCCAGCTGGCACCCGCCGTGCCAGCCTGCCGGGCCCGGCGCCAGCGGGGGGACACCGGCAGCGGGGACTCGGCGCTCGGCGTCACCCGCGTGTCCCCCCGGCACCACCCGCCCGTGTCCCCGTAGGGCGAGAGTGCCGGAGGGAGCAGGAGCCCCCCCATCCCCCAGAGGGTGCCCCGGGCTGCCCTGAGCACCCCCGGGTCCCCCCGCCCCAGCTGTGGCACCGGATTAACGCCACAGCTGTTAACGAGTTCTGAGCGGCTTAACCCTGCCCGGCACCCCCAGAGCCCCCCCGGCCCCCCCGGCGCCGCTGCCCACGCACAGACCTGCCACGACATGTGGGGGGAGAAAGGGGGCGCCCCGCCCTTCCGTGCCTCAGTTTCCCCCGCGCTGCAGCTGCAGGGTGGCTGCCTGGTGGGGTCCGTGTTGGGGGGCAGGCGGAACGGGGTTCAGCAGGAATGGGGGGCGGCAGGGGGGGCCCCCCAGGATGGGGTGCCCAGCAGGGACAGGGGCAGTGTCTCCAGGGCTGCCCTCCCCGGTGGGGGTGCCACCCCCCGTGTCACTGACCCCCCTCCCCACAGGCAGCTCCTTCCCGTGCCTGGTGGACGTGGTGCCGGTGAAGAACGAGGATGGCACCGTCATCATGTTCATCCTCAACTTCGAGGCCGTGAGGGAGCCTGAGCCCGGGGAGGCCCCGACCCCCAGCACCAACCACTGGGTCACCCCGGCCCCCTGGGGCCCGGCAGGTATGGGGACAGGGACACTGGGTCACACCAGGTGTGGGGACAGGGCCTCAAGGTTACCCCCAGGTGTGGGGACAGGGCCACCGGGTCACCTCCAGGTGTGGGGACAGGGACACTGGGTCACTCCTGCGTATGGTGGGGACAGGGACACTGGGTCCCCCCTGGTGTGGGGACAGGGCCACCGGGTCACCCCAGGTGTGGGGACAGGGACACTGGGTCACTCCTGCGTATGGTGGGGACAGGGACACTGGGTCCCCCCCTCCTCCTGGTTTCCTGCAGGGGAGTGGGCTCAGTGCCCCGGGCTGTGTCAGCCCATGTCCTGCTGGCCCCGTGTCCCACGTGCTGCTTGGGGGCCATGGGGAGAGTGGCAGCACGGTGGGGAGGGGGCTCAGACCCTGCCCCCGGCCCAGCCCAGGCTGCGGCTGATCCCCGTGGCTGCAGCAGCGCGGTGCCGGGCTCTGGGGCTGGCTGCTGCCCTGGGCAGCCCTGCTGAGCCCGGCCCTGCCGAGCCCGGCCCGGCTGAGCCCGGCCCTGCTGTCCCCAGGCCGCAGCCGCTCCCTGCGCCTGAAGCTGCTGGCGCTCACGGGCAGCCGCCAGTCGCTGCCCCCCGAGCCCCCGGAGCCCCCGGACGTGGTGGTCGTGGACCCGGGGGTTGCGGAGCCGCTGGCCGCGGAGCCCGCCGGCGACTCGGGCCCTGAGGACGCGTCCTCGTCGCTGGAGCTCGGCGCCGGGGACCGTGCCGAGGACGAGGCGGCGCTGATGGGGGACCCTGAGCCGCCGGTGCCGCCGTCGCCGCGGGCCGAGCGCCTGGCGCTGGCCTTCGCCAACCACAGCCTGGCCCGGAGCCGCTCCCGGGAGCGCCGGTCCCGGGAGAGCCTCCGCAGCCTCCGCCGCGCCTCGTCCGTCGATGACATCGAGGCCATGAAGGGGGACGGGGACAAGCGCTGCCACAGCCGCCACGCCAGCGCCAGCGCCGGCCTGCAGCGCGGCTCCAGCACCGGTACGGGCCCGGGGACAGCCACCGGGGCTGGGGACACGCCGGGGACCCTGGTGACCCCCATCCCACTGCCCCGCAGCAGGGGCTGGGGACCCCCGCGTCACCCTGGACCCTCCTAGCCCGTCCTGCAGCCCCTGAGCCGAGGGTGGAGTCACCCTGGGAGTCACCCTGGCAGTCACCCCGGGATCACCTCGGGAGTCACCTCGGGAGTCACCCTGGGAGTCACCCTGGGAGTCACCCTGGGATCACCCCTGGAGTCACCTCGGGAGTTACCTCGGGAGTCACCCTGCTGGCCCCAGAGCTCGTTAAACGTATTAAGATAAGGACAATCATTGTAATGACATTAAAGGTAACTGAGAGCAGCTCGGCAGGCTCCTGGGGGTGGTGGCACAGGCTGGGGGTCCGCCCTGCCCTGGGGCTCCACATTCCCTTCACGTGCCGCGGGACCGACCCCTGGGGGCTGTGGGATCCCCAGGAGCCCTGGGAGCGGTGGGAGCCGCCCGGGGGACACAGGGTGCGCGCGGCGGTGAGGGTCGCCCCGCCGGGGGACACCAGGGTGGCGGTGACAGTGTCGGTGTGTCCCCTGCAGGCGCGGTGGCCGCGGTGCGCAGCGCGCTGCTCAACTCCACGTCGGACTCGGACCTGGCGCGGTTCCGGGCCATCGGCCGCATCCCCCAGATCACCCTCAACTTCATGGACCTGCAGCCGGGGGGGCTCCTGGCCCCGCCGCCGGCCCCCCGCCCCATCATCGCCCCCACCAAACTGCGCGACCGCACCCACAACGTCACCGAGAAGGTCACACAGGTGAGACCCGGGCGGGGGGACAGGTCACACAGGTCACACAGGTGACACAGGTGACACAGGTGAGGCCTGGGGCCGTGGAGGGCCCCGGGCTTGGGTGGGAGCTGACTGGGTGATGCTGGAGGTGCAGGAGGTGCCAGAGGTGGCCAAGTGGTGGCAGAGGCTACCAGGGAATGCCGTAGTGGCTGCTGGAGGTGGCCAGGTGACACCAGGTGACAGCAGGTGCCAGAGGTGCAGAGATGGCTGGGCTGACCGTGGCATCCGGACAGTTTCGGTGACGATGTGGCCAGGCTGTGCCAAGATGGCCCAGCAGTGACAACGTGTCCCAGCAGTGACAAGATGTCCAGGCAGTGCTGGAGCTGGCCGAGTGGTGCCAAAGTGCCCGGGTGATGCCAGAAGTGTCCGGGTGGTGCCAAAGTGTCTGGGTGATGCCAGAAGCATCCAGGTGGTGCCAAAGTGCCCGGGTGATGCCAAGGTGGCTCGGTGGTGCTGGGGGGACTGGCCGGGCATCTGACTGTGGTGTTGTGGGGCGGTGGGTGCCGTGCCCGGGGGCAGCCGGGTCCAGGACAGGTCCTGGGGGGCTCCTGGCGGGGTGCAGGGGGCAGACACCCGCTGGTGCCACGGTGCCCCTCCCCGGTCGGTGCCGCCGTGCACCTCTCCCGGTGCCCCTCCCCGGTGCCCCTCTCCGGTGCCGTGCCTGCCGGGTGCCAGGCCCTGGCGGCCGCCGCTAATCCGCGGCCCGTTGTGTAACCGCCATCTGCCGCGGGAGCAGGAGGCGCCGCTTAATTACACCCTGATTTCCCTGCGCTAATGATCCGGGGGGGTCGGGGCTCCGGGCATCCCCGGGGGGCTGTGCGGGTGGGGGACGCGCGGGCTGTCCCGCCCCCGGTGTCCCCGAGCCCGGCCGGGGCTGTCCCCGGGGTCCCCGGCAGCTGGCGGGGGACGGGGCGGCCCCGGCGCATCTGCCCGGCCCCCTGTCCTTGTCCCCACCGCCGCTGTCCCCATCCCCATCGCGCTGTGCCGGTCACATTTCGGGGCTCGCTCCGGGGCTGGGGGCCGCAGGTGCCGCCTGGCAGCGGGGAGGGGGTGGCAGCGGAGCAGCGGGGGGGGCCCCGGTGCCGCGGACCCCCGCGCCCGCCCCGGAGTCCCCGCGGGGCCGCTCCCGGGCGCTCCCGGTCCCTCCTCCGGGGAGTGGCGACGGCTGGAGCCGGGGCGGCTCGGGGGAGGGTCTCCCGCGGGGGTCGGGGTGCCGTTGTGCTTTCCCCGCGCCGGGATGGAGGGGATGGGGCGCGGGGACGGCGGCGGGCGCTGCAGGCGGCTCCGGGGGGCACCGGGGGGCTCTGAGGGTCCCCCCGCGGCACAAACGGGGTCCCGCTGGCACAGGGGACCAGGGGTGTCCCCATGCCGGGATGGGGGGAGGGCGGCGGGCACCGGGGATCGCGGCCGGAGTGTGTGGACGGGTTTGGGGGCCTCGGGATTTTGGGGGGGGGTCTCCCGTCACGGCGGGAACTGGGACCCGCCATTTGTCCTGCCACGCGTGGGGGCTGTCCCCGCGGTGTCCCCACGGAGCAGGGGCTGGCACTGGGGGTCGCAGCAGGCTCTGAGGGGCTGGGGGGGCCCGAGGAGGCCTGGGGGGTCCCCCTGGGGCAGAGGCTCCTGCAGCCCCTCCCGCCCTCAGGGCTGTGGGGTACCGGGGCCGCCCCGTGCCTGGAGGGGGGCACTGGCGGCTGTGGTGGGCGACTCTGGGGGTGCAGGGGGATCTGCAGCCCCCCAGTGCCCTCGGGGGTTGGGGGTGTAACCCCCTCGTGGTCCCCACTGCCCACCTGGTGCCACGGCCGGGCCTGGTTCTGTGTCCTGCTGTGCCATGGTGGCTTGTGGGGTGGCAAGGAGTAACGGCTGGTGGCCTCTGCGGTGTCCCAGGGGGTCCCCGGTGTGTCCCAGGGGGTCCCAGGTGTGTCCCCGGTGGTCCCGGTGTGTCCCAGCTCCTCGTAGCCGTGCCCGTGGCTTTGGGGTGGCTGCGGGTCAGTGCCAGCGTCACCGGGCCGGGGTCGGGCTGGGGCAGGCGCACCGCCCCCAGGGACGTCACCCCGTCCCCCAGGGACGTCACCCCGTCACGGGGCTTGTCCCCCACGGTGCCACGGGTGCCACAGGCAGCGGGTGCCACTGTCGCTGCCCGCCCGGGGCGGCCCGTGTCGCCGTGCCCATGTCGGGGGGTCCCGAGGGGGCTGCGACGCCGCAGCTCAGCGCCGTGAGTACCCGGGGACAGCGTGGGGAGGGGGCGGGGGGGTCCCCAGCCCCGGGGCGTCTCCCGTGTCAGGGTGTCCCCGCGCTGCTCTGGTGTCACCCGGCCGTAGCCGGTGCTGCCCTGTGACACCTGCCAGGGGGCTGGGATGTCACGGGGTCAGCGTCCCTCCGGCTGGGGGTGTCCCCGGGGCTCCCAGCGCCTCGGGGTCCGTGACAAGGGGGGTGGCAGTGTTCAGGCTGGGGAGCTCTGGGGGTCTTAGACCCTGCTGGGGCATTGGGGGGGTGCCAGGGCCTGGAGAGGGCACGTGTGGGGTGCCCAGGGAGGTGTGGGGTGCCTGCCAGGGCTGCTGCTGGGTGCCTGCTGGGGCAGGATTTGGGACTCTGTGGCTGTGGGGCACTCGTTGGGACAGGATTTGGGGCTCTGTGAGTGTGGGGTCCCTGCTGGGGCAGGATCTGGGGCTCTGTGGTCCCTGCTGGGGCAGGATTTGGGGTTCTGCGAGTGTGGGGTCCCTGCTGGGGCAGGATTTGGGGCTGTGTGGCTGAGGGGCACTCGTTGGGACAGAATTTGGGGCTGTATGACTGTCAGGTCCCTGCTGGGCAGGATTTAGAGCTCTGGAGGTGTGGGGTCCCTGCTGGGGCAGGATTTGGGGCTCTGTGGCACTGGGGTCCCAGCCAGAGCCAGGGTGGGGGTCCCTGCGGGGTGCTGGGGGCCGCTGCATCCGAGCTGGGCGAGCCCGGGGGGAGCAGGGGCTCAGTAGGGTCTCGGGGGGCTCAGCAGGGTCTCGGGGGGCTCTGGGGCCCCGGGGGCTCAGCAGGGTCTCGGGGGGCTCTGGGGCCCCGGGGCTGTCGCGCCCCCCTGTCCCGCGCGGTATTTGGGGTGCCCGTGGGCGCGGGTGTCTGGGTCGCGGCAGGTGCGGCGCCGGGTGTCCCGGGGGGCGGGGGGTGGCGGTGTCACCGCAGGTGTCGGGGACGCGTCACCGGGGCGGGACGTGTCGCCGCGTGCTGCCGAACGTGTCACCGGCACCGCCGCCATCTGTGTCACCGTGACTGACGGGTGTCGGGGCGGGGGGTGGCACCGGGCCCGGGGGGTCGGGATGTCGCCGCGGGTCGGCCCCGTCCCGACACACGCGACAGGGGCGGGGTCCCCAACCCCTCTGCAGGGCACCCCCATGGTGCTGGCACGGGGGGCGGGGAGGGGCTGGGGGCTGTCCCCGCGGCCGGGGGACATTTGGGCTGGGGGCTGATCCCAAAATTGGGGGACATTTGGGCCCTCCCAGCCAGCACCGCCGGGGGGGCTCCCGGGGGCTGGGGTCCCCCCCAGGGCCTCCCTGGGGACACCCCCTGGCCCCGCGGGGGCTCTGTGCCCCGGGACCTGCCACCCCCGTGTCCCCGTGTCCCCGTCACCCCCTGGGGCTCGGGGGCTCGGGGTGCGGCCCCCCAGGAGGGGCTGGGGGCGGCCGCGGTGGCCTCGTCCCTCCGCGTGGGGACACGGGTGGCACGGGAATCCCCCGCGTGGGGGTGGCGGCCGTGACGCAGGAGCCGCCGTGTGTCCCCGTGCTGTCACCGCGTGTCACCGCGTGTCCCGGCGCTGTCACCACGCGTGCCAGCGCCGCCGCCGTGTGTCCCCGGGGCTGTGTCACCGCATGTCACCGCGTGTCACCGCGTGTCGCGGTGCCATCACTGCGTGTCCCTGGCGCCGTGTGCCCGTGTCACCGCGTGTCACCGTGCCCAGTGCCATCCCCCCGGGGCTGCTCCCGCTGCTCCACGGGCCCACCGCGGCCCCTGGGGACAGAGGCGACGGGGCCTTGTCCCGGGGGGCGGTGGCAGTGGGGGACATGTCCTGGCTGGGATGGGAGCGCATCCCGGGCTGTGGGCACCGCACGGGCGGGGACATCCCTGGCGTGTCCCTGGCGTGTCGCTGGCGTGTCCCTGGTGTGTCCCTGGCGTGTCCCTGGCGTGTCTCTGGTATGTCCCGGTGTGTCCCCCGCGTGTCCCTGGCACAGTGTGTCCCTGAGCCCTGCTCGGTGCCATGGACAGCTCTCCCCGCACACCTGGGCCAGGTGCGGGTGCCCGGGTGCCCGGGTGCCCTCGGGGTGCCCGGGGGATGCCCGGGGGCTGTGGCATGTCCCACCCCGTGCCGTGCCGCCCGAGGGCACGCACAGCCGCAGCGGTGTCCCCGCGGTGTCCCCGCGGTGTCCCCGCGTGCCGGGGGTCCCGGGGGTCCCGGGGGGCCGGGGGGGCAGCCCGGGCCGTGCCGTGGCAGCCGCAGCGGAGCAGCCTGGGAAAAATTTCCGCCCCAATAATTCCCGTCGGCTCCGGCGGAGCGCGGCTGGCGCGCCGCGCCGGGGTCCCGCTGCCACCCCTGCCCCATGCCCGGGGTCCCGCTCCGCAGCGCCTGCCCGGGGCTCCGCCGCCACGGCACCGGACGGCGGGAGAAGGTACCGGCGCCCTTCCCGCCCCCGGGGATGGCGGGGGTGCCGCGAGGGTGGGGGGCTCTGTGCCCCCCGAAACCCGCCGGGGCTGTGGGGGGCTCGGGCCGCGTCCTCGGCACTGTTCGGGGGGGTGGGGGCTTACATAAAGCTCTGGCTGTGCATGACGGGGACACCCCGGCCCCCCCGGGCCCCTCGGGGCTGGGGCCGATGGGGTGGGGGCGTGCCCGTCCCCTCCCGTGGGGCAGCAGCGGATGGAGCCCCACGACGGGCCTGGAGCGGCAAGGGGACCCCGGGGGTGCGGGGGTCACCGAGACCCCCCAGGGCAGAAGGGAGGCGGTGACCCCTGTGGGGCACAGGAGGGGGGCCGGGGTCACCCCCTTCCCTCTCCCCCCTGCCGTGGGGCTGGGGGGCTGATGGACCCCGTGGCACCCCCAGGCACCCCCGAGCATCATCCAGACCCCGCCAAGACCCCGGGGTTGTGCCCGGGACGTGCAGGAGTTCTGCACAGGGACTGGCACCTGGGGAGGGGTCTGTGCCCGCCAGACGGAAATGCCGGGGGGGGCCGTGCCCCCCGAGGGGGGCAGCCACGGCTGGGGGCACGGAGCTGGGCACGGAAAAGGGCACAGAGCTGGGGGCACGGAGCTGGGCACAGAGCTGGGCACGGAGCTGGGCCCAGGCAGCATCGTGTTTGTGGCTGTTTGGGGTGGGAGCTGCCCTGGCAGTATTTGTGGGGCAGGAGGGGGTTGTGGGGCAGCTCTGGGGAGTGAAGGGGCTTTGTCCCCCCTGTGCCCCCCTGGCACCCCTGGTCACACGTGGTGGTGTCCCTGCACCCCTCGTGGCCTGTGCTGGGGTCCCTCTGCCCCCCCCAGTCACAGAACTTTGCTTTTGGGAAGGGCCTTGAGGACCACGAGCTCCAGGGATGAGCCAGGTCCCCACCTGTCCCCAGGCTGGGCTCCGAGCCCTGCAGCAGCACTGCCCCCCCGCAGCCCCCCAGTGCCCTCCCTTGCCCTTTGGGGGTCCCACCTCACCCCGGAGTGTCACAGCCCTGCTGAGGCTGTAAAGGTCCCCCAGAATGACCCACCCGGGCCAAGACCCCCAGCCCAGGCCTCAGGCACGCACTGGTCGGGGTTTGGGGTGGGAGGGGCTGCCCTGTGGGTGTTGGGGTGCAGGCCCGACCCCCTGTCCCCCCCGTCCCAGGTGCTGTCCCTGGGTGCTGACGTACTCCCCGAGTACAAGCTGCAGGCGCCGCGCATCCACCGATGGACCATCCTGCACTACAGCCCCTTCAAGGCCGTGTGGGACTGGCTCATCCTGCTGCTGGTCATCTACACGGCCATCTTCACGCCCTACTCGGCCGCCTTCCTGCTCAGCGACTCGGAGGAGGCGCAGCGCCACCAGTGCGGCTACTCCTGCAGCCCGCTCAACGTGGTGGACCTCATCGTGGACATCATGTTCATCATCGACATCCTCATCAACTTCCGCACCACCTACGTCAACTCCAACGAGGAGGTGGTCAGCCACCCCGCCAAGATCGCCATCCACTACTTCAAGGGCTGGTTCCTCATCGACATGGTGGCCGCCATCCCCTTCGACCTGCTCATCTTCGGCTCCGGCTCCGAGGAGGTGACAGGGGGACACTGCTCTGGGGGTGCCAGCCGTGCCCCCGGTGCTGGGGTGGATGTGGGGTGCTGCTCTGGGGTGCCAGCCGTGCCCCCGGTGCTGGGGCGGATGTTGGGTGGGTGCTGGGTGCTGCTCTGGGGGTGCCAGCCGTGCCCCCAGTGCTGGGGTGGATGTTGGGTGGGTGGTGGGTGCTCGGGGACACTGCTCTGGGGGTGCCAGCCGCGCCCCCAGTGCTGGGGTGGCTGTGGGGTGCTGGGTGCTGCTCCTGGGGAGTGCCTGGGGGTCCCCCACGCACCCACCAGTGCCCCCCTGAACCCCCCCCAGACCAGCTTTGCTCTGGGTGGGACATGGGGACACCCAGGCTGCTGTGGGGAGAGGGGCAGGGGCTCATGGCACCCCCTGCCCTGCCGGATGTTGGGTGGGTGCTGGGTGCTGCTCTGGGGGTGCCAGCCGTGCCCCCAGTGCTGGGGTGGATGTTGGGTGGGTGGTGGGTGCTGCTCTGGGGTGCCAGCCGCGCCCCCGGTGCTGGGGTGGATGTGGGGTGGGTGCTGCTCCTGGGGAGTGCCTGGGGGTCCCCCACGCACCCACCAGTGCCCCCCTGAACCCCCCCCAGACCAGCTTTGCTCTGGGTGGGACATGGGGACACCCAGGCTGCTGTGGGGAGAGGGGCAGGGGCTCATGGCACCCCCTGCCCTGCCAGGGCTCTGTGGGAGCTCTCTGGCTCTGCTGTCCCGGTGACCTCCCTGTGCTCCCTCCCCACACACCTGCACCCTGGGGGGCTCCTGGGGCAGGGGGAGCCCCCAGAACGGAGGGGCCTGGCTGGGGGCAGGGACCCCCCACCCCTTTGGGGTTCTGAGGGTCTCTTCACTGTCACCCCCTCCTGTTTCCTGTCCCCCAGACCACGACACTGCTGGGGCTGCTGGTGTGGGGAGAGAACATGGAACCCCCTCTCTGTTCTGCGGGTCCCTGGGGTGTTCCCAGCCCTGTAACCCTTTCTGTGCTGTTGCCCAGATCATCGGGCTGCTGATGAGGGGGCGAGAGCATGGACCCCCCCTCTCCCCTGTGTGGGTCCCCAGGGTATCCCCACACCTGTAACCCTTTCCATGCCGTTCCCCACACCACTGATGTGGGGTGAGAGCATGGAGCCCCCCACTCTGTTCTGCGGGTCCCTGGGGTGTTCCCACCCCTGTAACCCTTTCTGTGCCGTTCCCCAGACCATTGGGCTGGTGTGGGGCGAGAGCATGGACCCTCCCTCTCTGTTCTGTGTATCCCCGGGGTATCCCCACCCCTGTAACCCTTTCCCTGCCATTTCCCAGACCATTGGGCTGATGTGAAGAGAGAGGATGGAGCCTCCCTTCCCCTGTGTGTGTCCCTGGGGTGTCCTTACCCCTGTAACCCTTTCCGTGCCGTTCCCAGACTGTGACACTCATTGGGCTGCTGGTGTGGGGAGAGAGGATGGAGCCCCCCTCTCCCCTCTGTGTGTCCCTGGGGTATCACCACCCCTGTAACCCCTTCCCTGCCGCCCCAGACCACGACGCTGATCGGGCTGATGTGGGGAGGGAGCATGGAACCCCCTCTCTGAGACTGTGACACTCATCGGGCTGCTGATGAGGGGGCAAGAGCATGGACCCCCCTCTCCATTCTGTGGGTCCCATAGGTGTCCCCAGCCCTGTAACCCCCTCCCTGCCGTCCCAGACCACGACGCTGATCGGGCTGATGTGGGGAGGGAGCATGGAACCCCCTCTCTGTTCTGTGGGTCCCCGGGGTGTCCCCAGCCCCGTAACCCTTTCTGTGCCGTTCCCCAGACCATTGGGCTGGTGTGGGGGGAGAGGATGGAGCCCCTCTCCATTCTGTGGGTCCCCGGGGTGTCCCCAGCCCCGTAACCCTTTCCGTGCCATTCCCAGACCACCACGCTGATCGGGCTGATGTGGGGGGAGAGGATGGAGCCCCTCTCTGTTCTGCGGGTCCCCGGGGTGTCCCCAGCCCCATGACCCTTTCCCTGCCACCCCAGACCACCACGCTGATCGGGCTGCTGAAGACGGCGCGGCTGCTGCGGCTGGTGCGCGTGGCGCGGAAGCTGGACCGCTACTCGGAGTACGGCGCGGCCGTGCTCTTCCTGCTCATGTGCACCTTCGCCCTGATCGCCCACTGGCTGGCCTGCATCTGGTACGCCATCGGCAACGTGGAGGGGCAGCGCACGGGCTGGCTGCACGCGCTGGGACAGCAGATCGGCAAGCCCCTCAACGGCAGCTTCGGGCCCTCCATCAAGGACAAGTACGTCACCGCGCTCTACTTCACCTTCAGCAGCCTCACCAGCGTGGGCTTCGGCAACGTGTCCCCCAACACCAACTCCGAGAAGATCTTCTCCATCTGCGTCATGCTCATCGGATGTGAGTGCCCGCCTGAGGGCTGGGAGCGTGCCCGCACACCTGGGGGTGTCTGAGAGTGTGAGTGTGTGAGTGTGTGTGAGTGTGTGTGCCCACACACCTGGGGGTGTGTGAGAGTGTGTGAGTGTGTGTGCCTGCACACCTGGGGGTGTGTGTGAGTGTGAGTGTGTGAGTGAGAGTGTGAGTGTGAGTGTGTGCCTGCACACCTGGGGGTGTGTGAGAGTGTGTGAGTGTGTGTGCCTGCACCCCTGGGGGTGTCTGAGAGTGTGAGTGTGTGAGTGTGTGTGAGTGTGTGTGCCCACACACCTGGGGGTGTGTGAGAGTGTGTGAGTGTGTGTGCCTGCACACCTGGGGGTGTGTGTGAGTGTGAGTGTGTGAGTGTGTGTGAGTGTGTGAGTGTGTGCCTGCACACCTGGGGGTGTGTGAGAGTGTGTGAGTGTGTGCCTGCACACCTGGGGGTGTGTGAGTGTGTGAGTGTGTGTGTGAGTGTGTGTGTGTGTGAGTGTGTGTGAGTGTGTGTGCCTGCACACCTGGGGGTGTCTGAGAGTGTGTGCTTGCACACCTGGGAGTGTGAGAGCAGTGAGAGTGTGTGAGTGTGTGAGCATGTGCCTGCACAGCTGTGTGTGTGTGAGCACCTGCGTGTGCAGCCAGGTGTGTGTGAGAATGTGTGAGTGTGTGCCTGCACACTTGAGTGTGCAGAGCTGTGTGTGTGAGTGTGCAGAGCTGTGTGTGTGTATCCTCACACCCCTGTGAGTGTGCCCTGCCCTGTTTGACCCCTCCCCGGATGCTCTGGGTTCGGGTCCCCCCTGGGCTGTCCTCAGGTGGCACAGGGGGTGGCAGGTGGCTCTGCCGGGGGACAGGAGGCTCTGCAGAGATCCATGGGCTGGGGACACCTGTCCCCACAGCAGCCCCACGGAACATTCCAGGCTGGGCAGAGGGGCTGCACACCTGGGACAGTCCCTGGGGTGCTGTGACAGCGGCTGGGGGAGCCCAGGGGTGCCCAGGTGGTTGTGGATGTGGGACTTGGGGACATGGTGGCCTTGGCAGTGCTGGGGTGGGTGGGCTCAGGCGTCTGAGGATTCCCCTGGTGACTCTTGGCACCAGCGTGAGGATGACGCCCCTCCATGACGATGGGGACCTGCGTGCAGTGGGGACCCTCACGATTATGGGGTCTGGTGACAGTGGGAGCCCGTGTGGTGATGGGGACCGCTGTGACAAGGGGGCACTCTGGTGATGGGGACAATCCTGTGCTGATGGGGACAGTCCTGTGCTGATGGGACCCCCATGACAAGGGGCACTCTGGTGATGGGGACACTCCAGTGATGATGGGGACACTCCCATGGTGATGGGAGCTCCTGTGGTGATGGGACCCCCGTGACAAGGGGTGCTCTGGTGGTGGACACCCCCCTGTGATGGTGGGGACCCCCGTGACAAAGGGGACCCCATGACAATGGGCCCCTCCACCGTGATGGGTACCCCGCACTGCAGCCCTGGCAGCCGTGGGGGTTTGGGGGGTTTGGGGGGGTTTGGGGGTGCAGAGCCCCCCGAGATGCCCCCCAGCACCGATGCAGGGCAGCCTCCTTGGGAGCCCCCGGCCACCCCCGTGCTCGGGGACACGGGGACCCCGCAGGCCGGGCCGGGGGGCGGCAGTGCAGGTTGGGGGGCTCGGGGGGGCAGAGCCGGCCTGACGCTGCCCCCCCAGCGCTGATGTACGCCAGCATCTTCGGGAACGTGTCGGCCATCATCCAGCGGCTGTACTCGGGCACGGCGCGCTACCACACGCAGATGCTGCGCGTGCGCGAGTTCATCCGCTTCCACCAGATCCCCAACCCGCTGCGCCAGCGCCTCGAGGAGTACTTCCAGCACGCCTGGTCCTACACCAACGGCATCGACATGAACGCGGTGAGCGCCCTGAGACACCCCAAAAACACCCCTGGGACCCCTAAACCCCCCAGCCCTCAGCCCCCCTCCTCAGGGAGCACTTCCAGCACGCCTGGTCCTACACCAACGGCATCGACATGAACGCGGTGAGCGCCCTGAGACACCCCAAAAACACCCCTGGGACCCCTAAACCCCACCCTGGCCCTCAGTTCCCTTCCAGCACGCCTGGTCCTACACCAACGGCATCGACATGAACGCGGTGAGCGCCCTGAGAAACCCCAAACAAACCCCAAACACCCCTGGGACCCCTAAACCCCCCAGCCCTCAGCCCCCCTCCTCAGGGAGCACTTCCAGCACGCCTGGTCCTACACCAACAGCATTGACATGAATGCCCAAAAACACCCCAAAACACCCCAAACCCCTGTGGGACCCCTAAACCCCCCAGCCCTCAGCCCCCCTTCCAGCACGCCTGGTCCTACACCAACGGCATCGACATGAACGCGGTGAGCACCCTGGGAAACCCCAAAAACACCCCTGGGACCCCTAAAACCCACCCTGGCCCTCAGTCCCCTTCCAGCACGCCTGGTCCTACACCAACGGCATCGACATGAACGCGGTGAGCGCCCTGAGAAACCCCAAACAAACCCCAAACACCCCTGGGACCCCTAAACCCCCCAGCCCTCAAACGCGGTGAGAGCCCAAAAACACCCCAAACACTCCTGGGACCCCTAAACCCCCCCATGGTACTCAGCCCCCCTCCACACGACTGGTCCTACACCAACGGCATCGACATGAACGCGGTGAGATCCCAAAAATACCCCAAATCTCCCCTGGGACCCCTAAACCCCCATGGCCTCAGCCCCTCTTCCAGCATGCCTGGTCCTACACCAACATGAACGCAGTGAGACACCCAAAAAGCTCCAAAAACCCCCAAAACCCCCCACGAGACCCCCAAACCTACCTGGCCCTCAGCCCTCCCCTCCTGAGGGGGCACTTCCAGCACGCCTGGTCCTGCACCAGCAGCAGCAGTGTGATCATGGTGAGACCCCAAAAAAAACCCCAAAAACCCCCACGGGACCCCCAAACCCCCCAGCCCTGAGCCCCCCTCCTGAGGGGGCACTTCCAGCACGCCTGGTCCTGCACCAGCAGCAGCAGTGTGATCATGGTGAGACCCCAAAAAAAAGCCCAAAAACACCCCAAACCCCCACGGGACCCCCAAACCCACCTGGCCCTGAGCCCCCCTCCTGAGGGGGCACTTCCAGCACGCCTGGTCCTGCACCAGCAGCATCAGAGTGACCACAGCGAAACCCTCTGGGACCCCTAAACCCTGGCACGCCCCCGACCCCTGGCAGCCCCGAGGCCCCCGGTGACCCCCGGTGACCCCCCGGTCGCCCCCAGGTGCTGAAGGGGTTCCCCGAGTGCCTGCAGGCCGACATCTGCCTGCACCTGAACCGCAGCCTGCTGCAGAACTGCGCCCCGTTCCGCGGCGCCACCAAGGGCTGCCTGCGGGCGCTGGCCATGAAGTTCAAGACCACCCACGCCCCCCCGGGGGACACGCTGGTGCACGCCGGGGACGTGCTCACCGCGCTCTACTTCATCTCCCGCGGCTCCATCGAGATCCTGCGCGGCGACGTCGTGGTCGCCATCCTGGGTGAGCCCCCACGAGCGGCCCGGGGGTCCCGCAGTGCCCCCAGGGTGGCACCCCATCGTCCTGGAGACCCCCGCGGTGCTCCTCGGGTGACGCCCCAGCTGCCTGCCGAGGGATCCCCCCCACCCCGGGACCCCCCCCCCCCGGGGGAGAGCCCTGGGTGTCCCCAGGGTGGCACCCCATCGTCCTGGAGACCCCCGCGGTGCTCCTCGGGTGACGCCCCAGCTGCCTGCCGAGGGATCCCCCCCATCCCGGGACCCCCCAGTGCTGGGGGAGAGCCCATCCTGACCCCCGCCTTTTGGGGACCCCCAGTCCTGTGCACGACCCCAGTGCCCCCCCGGTGACACCCAGGCACGCCAAGCGACTCCCGCCCCTCCCGCATCCCCCCAGCTTTGGGGTCACCGTGAGTCCCTGGGGTCTCCCCAGCCCTGTCACAGCCGAGGTCCCGAGGTGCCCCCTCCCTCCCTCTTTGGGGTCACCGTGAGTGCCCCGGGGGTCCCCCCAGCCCTGTCACAGCCGAGGTCCCCGAGGTGCCCCTCCCTCCCTCTTTGGGGTCACCGTGAGTCCCTGGGGTCCCCCCAGCCCTGTCACAGCCGAGTGCCCGAGGTGCCCCTCTCTCCCTCCCTCCCTGGCGGTGTCCCCCCGCTCCCCCGGTCCCGGGCACACCTCGGGGAGCCGCGCTGAGCCCCCGTGTCCCCAGGGAAGAACGACACCTTCGGGGAGCCGCTGCACCTGCACGCCCGGCCCGGGAAGTCGCGGGCGGACGTGCGGGCTCTCACCTACTGCGACCTGCACAAGATCCTGCGCGAGGACCTGCTCGAGGTGCTCGACATGTACCCCGAGTTCTCCGACCGCTTCTGGGGCACCCTGGAGATCACCTTCAACCTGCGCGACGTGAGCGGGGGCCCGGGGGGTGGGCTCCCGAACGGGGGGGCCCGGCGAGCCGGGGGTCCTGGAAAAGGGGTGGTCCCGAACAAACAGGGGGGTCAGAGCCAGCCGAGGGGGTCCTGAGCAAACTGGGAGTCTTGGGGAAGTTGGGGGGGCTCGGAGCAGGTGGTTGGGGGGGTCCGAGCAGGTTATGGGGTCCTGAGCAGGCTGGGGGGTTCTGTGCAGTTTTGGGTGGGGGTCCTGAGCAAGGGAGGGGGCGCTGAGCAAATTGCGAGGGGCTGAGAGCTCTGGGGGGTCCCGAGGAGGCGGGAGGGGCCCGGCAGCCCCCGACGGTGCCCCCGTGTCCCCGCAGACCAACATGATCCCCGGCTCCCCGGGCAGCGACGAGCTGGACGCGGGCTTCTCCCGGCTCCGGCGCCGCAAGCTCTCCTTCCGCCGGCGCCCCGAGAAAGGTGGGTGGGGGCGGGACCCCCGGGGGACCCCAGGGTGCCGCGGCGCTGACCCCGCTCTGTCCCTGCAGACGCCGCCAGTCCCGGGGAGTCCCGGGCGCTGCGGGGGGACGGCGGGGGGGGCCAGGCCCCCGGAGCCCCCCGAGGCCCGGCCGAGTGGGACCCCCCCAGCCCGTCCAGCTGCGCCTCCAGCGACGAGGAGGAGCCCCCCGCGCCCCCGCCCGGGGCCACGGCGCTGTCCCCGTTCCGCAGCGCGGCCCCGGCTCCCCCCGAGCCCGAGGAGCGAGAGGGCAGCGACATGTGCAACCCGCTCTCAGGTGGGCCGGGGGCTCGGCGTGGGCGCGGCCCCCTCCTCCTCTCCTCACCGGGGCTCAGAGCACCCCAGGGTGCCGCGGCGCTGACCCCGCTCTGTCCCTGCAGACGCCGCCAGTCCCGGGGAGTCCCGGGCGCTGCGGGGGGACGGCGGGGGGGGCCAGGCCCCCGGAGCCCCCCGAGGCCCGGCCGAGTGGGACCCCCCCAGCCCGTCCAGCTGCGCCTCCAGCGACGAGGAGGAGCCCCCCGCGCCCCCGCCCGGGGCCACGGCGCTGTCCCCGTTCCGCAGCGCGGCCCCGGCTCCCCCCGAGCCCGAGGAGCGAGAGGGCAGCGACATGTGCAACCCGCTCTCAGGTGGGCCGGGGGCTCGGCGTGGGCGCGGCCCCCTCCTCCTCTCCTCACCGGGGCTCAGAGGGCACCCCAAAGCCTGGCGCTGCTGTCCCCAGCCCTGCCCCACCCCATTCCCTGACCCGCGCCCGGCACTGCCCCCTGTGCCCCCTGAGCTGGGCTTGGGGAGCCCCCCATTCCTTCCCTCCCCCCTCGGGGTCCTGCAGCCCCCCCAGAACTGCAGCACACCCTGCTCCCCAGCCCCTGACCCCCCTCACGCTGCCCCAAAACTCCCCCCTCATTTCACCGCCCCAAAAACCCACCCGCCTCCCTCCTTTCCCAGGCGCCTTCTCGGGGGTCTCCAACATCTTCAGCTTTTGGGGTGACACCCGGGGCCGCCAGTACCAGGAGCTCCCCCGCTGTTCCCACGGGCCGCCCCCAAACCCCCCCCCGACCCTGACCCGCCGCCAGCGCTCCGACCTGGAATCCCGCTTGGATCTGCTCCAAAAGCAGCTCAACAGGTAAACCCGGGGGGCCGGGTGCGACCCGGGGGGGCTTCACCCCCTGGGACCCCCCCCCACTGCCAAAGGGCTCTGGGGAGCCCTGAGCAGGAAAAGAGGGAAGGGGAGAGCCCGAGGCCAAGCTGAGCCCCCCGAGCCTCCTGAGAGGGGTGGGACAGGGGGTGCCGGGGGTCCTGGGGCAGGGAGGGCGGGCTGGGGGTCCTAGGGCAGAGAGGGGTGGGACAGGGGGTATCACGGCCCCGCTGCCCCGCAGGCTGGAGTCGCGGCTGAGCACGGACATCTCGTCCATCGTGCAGCTGCTGCAGCGGCAGGTGCTGGTGCCCCCCGCCTACAGCGCCGTGAGCTCCCCGCACCAGCCCCCCCCGGGGCCGCTGCCCCCCGCCGCGGGGACCCCCCCGGGGACCCCCCCGCTCCAGAGACACTGCTCCGACCCCGGCAGCTAATGGGAGCGCCGGGGCGCGGCGGGACCCCCGGAGCCACGGGACCCCCGACCCCGGAACGCGGGACCCCCGCAGCCCTCGGACCCCAGGACGTGGGACCCCTGGAGTCCTCAGGCCCCGAGAGGCGGGACCCCCAAAGCCCAGGACGGGGGAGCCCCGGCCCCGGAGTGTGGGAGCCCCGGACCCCGGGGCCCGCAGCCCGGGACGCAGCAGGCGGGACCCCCGGAGCCACAGGACCCCCGGCTCCGCACCCTGCGACCCCCGGCCCCGCAGTGTGGGACCCCCAGAGTCCTCGGAGCCCCGCACCCCGGCACCCGGGACCCCCGGAGCCGCAGGACCCCCGTCCCCAGCATGTGGGACCCCCAAAGCCCAGGACAGGGGACACCCTGGGACCCCTGACCCCGCAAGTGGGGACACAGAGCCCCCAGCCCCGGGCCCCGGCTGCCCCGTGGGCGCTGCCCTGGGTGCTGCCGGGGGTCTCGGGGCCGCCGGGACCCCCGGTGTCCCGCTGGGGCCCCCTGCCCCGGACTGTCAGACTGTGCTGCTCTTCCTCCTCCTCCTCCTCCTCCTCCTCCTGCCCGAGCCCCGGGGCGGCGGGGGGTGCACAGGTGTGCACACGTGTGTGTGTGTGCACAGGTGTGTGTGTGTACAGGTGTGTGTGTGCACAGCTGTGACTGTGCACAGGTGTGTGTGTGCACGGGTGTGCACAGGCGTGCACAAGTGTGTGTCTGCACAGGTGTGTGTGTGCACAGGTGTGTGTGTGCACAGGTGTGTGTGTGCACAGGTGTGCACAGGTGTGTGTGCACAGGTGTGTGTGTGCACAGGTGTGCACAGGTGTGTGTGCACAGGTGTGCACAGGTGTGTGTGTGCACAGGTGTGCACAGGTGTGTGTGCACAGGCGTGCACAGGTGTGTGTGTGCACAGGCATGCACAGGCGTGCACAGGTGTGCACAGGTGTGTGTGCACAGGCGTGCACAGGTGTGTGTGTGCACAGGCATGCACAGGCATGCACAGGTGTGTCCCCGGCTCCTCTCCCAGGACGTCACGTGTGTGTCGGGGGGTCCCACTGCGCTGGGACACGCGTGCTGCCCCCCGTGTGTGTGTGTGTGTGTCCCCGCCGTGTCCCCGCCGTGTCCCCAGCCAGGACCCCCAGTGGCGCGTGGGGCCCGGTGGGTCCGTGTGTGCCCCCCGTGTGCCCCGGGACCCCCGGCTGAGGGAGGGCCGGGACCCTGCGTGTGCCCCTCCCCGTGCCCGAGCCCCCCGCACAGCCGGTGACACGCGGCAGTGTCACCCCGCGCACAGGGAGGGGACGCCGGCTCGAGGGGCTGCCGCTGCCCCGTCGCGTGTGCTGTGTTTGTCCCGTGTCACCCCTGCATGTCACCCCGCGTAGGCGCCCCCAATAAACCAGACAGAGACCCCGCTCTGCGTGTCACCACCTGGAGCTGGCGGGGAGGGACAACGGCCTCGGATGTCACCGTGGTTAAACCTTGTGGCACCGGGGACTGGCTGGGGCATCCTGGTGGCCGCAGCATGGGCAGAGACACGGGGACAGAGGAGGTGGCATCGCCTTTACTGAGCCCAGCACACGGCATCATGTGACGTGTCCCTGTGACACTGGGGTCCCGTGTGGTGGCAGAAGGGGTGGCATCACCTTTACTGAACCCCCCGTGTGTCACAGTGTGACGTGAGCCATGCCACGGTGTCCTGGTGGCACCAGTGTCCTCGTGGTGCCAGTGCCAGCAGCGGAGCTGACACTGCCTTTCCTGGCACATGGCACTGTGTGGCACTGTGTGACACTGTGCGGTGTCCCACAGCCAGCGTCCTGGTGGCACCAGTGACCCACATGGTTGGCATGGCACAGGGTGGCACACCGCGGTGTCACTGTGGAAGGGTTGGCATGGCAGGTGGCACAGGGTGGCACACCGCGGTGTCACTGGGGTCCCACACGGTGCCGGGCCAGAGGAGGGGACAGCGCCCGTGCTGGCCTGGCACGTGGCAGCGTGTGACACGGTGTGACGCGTCCCACGCCCGGTGCCCCGGTGTCCCCGTGCTGCCGGGCTCAGGGAGGCGACAGCGGCTCTGCAGCACCTGTCCCGCGGCCGCTGTCCCCGTGTCCCCGTGGTGTCCCCGTGGTGTCCCCGTGTCACACCTGGCGGTAGGTGCCGTTGTAGCTGAAGGGCTCGGGGTGCGCGCAGGGCGCGGCGCTGGCCGGGGCCCAGCGCAGGATCTGCAGGCGGGAGCAGGCCGGGGGGTCCAGGGGCCGCACGACCACCGGCGCGCGCGACGCCACCGACGGGTCCTCGCTGAAGAAGTTGAAGGGGCGCAGGAAGAAGCCCACGGCGTTGCCGGGGGTGGCCGTGTTGGGGATGTCCTCGGCGTGGGGCACGTGCAGGAAGCCCACGGTCACCCAGGCCACCAGGTCCTGGGGGGACACGCCACGGTGTCAGTGGCACCACGGTCCCCCCGCGGGAGCTGGGGCGACCCCAGAGATGGCCCCCCACTCGGGGATGAACCCCCCGGCCCCTCAGCAGCCAGCCCCGTGTCCCCCCCGTGTCACCTGGTCCTCGATGGTCTCGTTGTCGCGGATGAAGCTCTCGAAGGTGACCGGCGGGTCCCAGGGGTTGTTCTGGCTGTAGATGCTGCTGCTGCTGGGCTCGTTCTCGTGGCGCCGTGTCACGGCCAGGTGGTACCTGCCACAGGTGAGGGGTGGGTGGGCCTGGGGCGGGGGGTCCTGTCCCAGCCCTGCCCTGCTCCCCGACTGTGCCACCCATGGCCCAGTCACGTCAGGGGGACACAGGGCTGGTGAGGGGTGCGGGGGTCCCCAGCTTTGTGTGCTCTTCAGCTCCTGAGGGGATCCCCAAGTCCAGGGGAATTCCCCAGGTCCCCTGAGGCACTCCCCAGTTCTGAGGGGTTTCCCTTGGAGGATCCCCGGATCTTGAGGGGGTCCCCATTTCCAGGGCTTCCTCATCTCCCAAGGTGTTTCACAGCTCCCGGACACTCTTCAGCTTCCAGGAATTCCCCATTTCCAACAGCCCCTCAGCCCCGGGGTGTCCCAACTCCGGGGGCTGCTCCAGCTCTGACAGCCCCCGAGGTGTCCCCGCTCCAGCGGCAGCGCGGCCTCGCGCTCCCGCCGCCGCGGCTCCCGGTGCAGCCGGGGCTGCACCACGCGCGCCCCCGCGCTCCAGGGGTTGGAGATGTTCTCGAAGCGAATGTCCATCGTCTCGAAGCTGTTCCCGGAGCCTGCGGGGACCGCGGGTGGGTGAGGGGACACGGCGGCACAGCCCCACCCCAGTGTGAGGGTGGGACACCGCAGGGAGCCGCCATGGGCGTGGGCTGGCACCTCATGGAGACGCCAACGTGGAGGGCTGAGATGCCACCCCCATGGAACCGACAGCCCCCCGAGGTGTCCCAAACTCCCAGGGCTGCTCCAGCTGTGACAGCCCCCCGAGGTGTCCCAAACTCTCAGGGGTGCTCCACCTGTGACAGCCCCCCGAGGTGTCCCAAACTCCCAGGGCTGCTCCAGCTGTGACAGCCCCCCGGGGTGTCCCAAACTCCCCTGGCTGCTCCAGCTGTGACAGCCCCCCGAGGTGTCCCAAACCCCCAGGGGTGCTCCAGCTGTGACAGCCCCCCGGGGTGTCCCAAACTCCCAGGGGTGCTCCAGCTGTGACAGCCCCCCGAGGTGTCCCAAACTCCGGGCTGCTCCCAGGGGGTTTCCCCAGCTCCAGGGGAGCTCCCATCTCTGGAGGTTCCCCCAGTCCCAAGGACCCGCTCCAGGGCAGGGTGGGGATGTGCCAGCTGGGCGAGGTGCCACCCCAGGAACGCGTGAGCAGGGCAGTGCCGCCGTGCCCCGCAGGTGCCACACCTGGTGGCGCTGGAGTCCCCGTGCAGCCCCGTCCCCAGGCCCCCGGTGCCCACCTGGCCCAGGTGACGCCGCGCTCCTCGCGCCAGCCGCGGGGCAGCACGGGCCCGGCGTGCGAGCTGAGCTGCAGGCGGAAGGCGCGGCGGTGGCCCCAGCGGTTCGGCCGGCGCGGGTTGGAGAAGAGCAGGTAGCGCGGCGCGGGCCGCTCCAGCGATGCCACCCCCATGGAAGACTGTGACCCCACAATCAAGCCATCATGGTGGGCTGGGGCCCAGTTTGGTACACCAGCATGGAGAGGAGGGCCTTTGAGGAGATGCCACCATGGAGAGCTGGGACACCTTGAGGGTGCCACCAAGGTGGGCTGGGAACACCTTGGAGATGCTACCATGGATGTAGCCTGGGAAATATCACCCACAGGGGGCTGGGACCCTGCAGAGATGCCATAGAGGGCTGGAGCCCCAGATGTCACCGGGGCTGGGAGATCCCACCACCACGGGCAGATGTGACCCTGCAGAGATGCCACCACGGAGGGGATCATCACCTGAGGGTGCGGGTGACACCCAGGTGATACCACCCTTCCAGAAACAAGGCACCTCACCCCCAGGAGCCCCCCATGGGTCCAGCCTCTCTCCCAGCACCCTCCCCACGGCCAGGGGGTGTCGGGAGCCGTCAGGGCCCTTCACCTGCGACGTCCAGGTCCACCTTGTAGTGCACCAGGTGGGTGTGGATGTTGCCCAGCAGGTGGCTGTGCACGCGGCTGCCGTAGCGCCGGCCCTCCGGCGTGTAGAAGGTGGCGTGGATGTAGCCGGTGGCGTGCACCTTGGTCTCCAGGACGCCGTTGGGGTAGAGCAGGAAGTCCCAGATGTAGTCGTAGTTGTAGACGGTGGAGGTGGTCCTGAGCACCAGCGCCCGTCCCTCCAGCCCCGCGTAGAAGTGGAAGCCGCCCTGGAAGTCGCTGTCGAAGTGGCGGCGCAGGGGCACGCCCGTGGGCAGCTCGAAGACGCAGAGGGCGTTGCGGAAGCGCACGGGGCCGTCGGCGTCCAGCAGGTGGTGGGCGTCCAGGAAGGCGGCGGTCTCGGGGCAGTCCACGCCGCGCGCCAGCTCGTAACTGGAGGCGCCCATGGCCCAGCCGGCGTCCATGTACTTGGTCTGCATGGCGGCCGGCGAGTGGCCGCCGTAGAAGGCGATGGCCTCCTGCACGCTCAGCTCGTAGGCCACGCGCTCGCCGCCGAAGCGCACGTCGAAGAGCTGCAGGCCGGCCGAGGAGCGCAGCCGGAAGGCCAGGCTCCAGCCGCCGTACTCCAGCCGGTTGCCGCGCAGCCGGTAGCGCCGGCCCTGCGGCTCGCACACCTTGGCGCCGTGCGCCTCGGCGGGGCAGGCGGGCCAGGGGCAGCGCGCCCCGCGCGTGGCTCTCGGCCAGCTCCCGCACGCTGCCGAAGTAGCGCCCGTTGTACCAGAGCCGGCGCACGGCCCAGCGCCGCGGCTCGGGGTCGCCGTGGTCCAGCAGCACCTCCAGCCCCGTGGGGTGCAGGAAGAAGCCCTCCACGAAGCGCTGGATGATCAGCCAGGTGCGGCGCTCGCCGGGGCCCAGCCCGCGCGGCGCGATGTCGGAGAAGGTGAGGCAGCGCTCGGAGCAGTTCTGGAAGCCGAAGCCGGTGGCCTCGAGCAGCAGCGGCTCCAGCGGCGCCAGGGCGGCCACCAGCGCCTCGTGCAGCAGCTCGTACTCCAGCCGCGTCATCGGCCGCGCCCAGAAGGGCACGGCCCGGCCGCCCTTGAAGGCCAGGGCCCGGTAGGAGCTGGGGCGCGGCAGGGGCCCCACGGCCAGCTCGGTGACGTTGGGCTCCGCTTGCGCCCCGAAGAAGACGACGGCCCGAGCCTCGCGCCGCGGGCGCGCCCCGCCGTGCTCCAGGAAGCGCAGCGCCCCGCGCTTCTTGGGGGGCAGCAGCTCCACCAGGAACAGCGAGTTCTTGGCCAGGGGGCCCCCCCGGCTCGGGGACAGCCCCAGCTCCGGCCGCTCCATCAGGAAGGTCCGCACGGCCCGCAGCTCTGCCGGGGACAGGTCGGCGAAGATGGACGCGGGGTCCGGGGGCTCGGCCGAGCAGGCCGCGGTCACCAGCAGGGCCAGCGCCCAGGGGAGCCCCAGCTGCCACATCCTGGGGGACACGGGCACGGGGGTCAGCCCCGAGAGGGGACGGGCACAGCTGAGCGCCCCCCGCTGCAGCGCTGCCACCACCCCAGCAAAGCTGGGGCAGCCACGGGCTGACCCCCAGGGACAGCGGGGGGACCAAGGCAGGACCCCCAGCACTACTGGAACCACCACGGGGGGGAGCAGAGCACCCCGAACAAACAGGCGGGCCGGGGGTGACCCCAGGGGAAGCGGGGACACCATGGGGTGACCCCCAAAAAACTGGAGACACCATGGGGCGACCCCCAAAAAACTGTATGACCCCCAAAAGCCTCCCCCCAGCCCCTCAGCACCCCCAAACCCCCCTCTCAGAGCAGCTGTTGGACCCCAGCCCAGCGCTGAATCCCGGGTGGGCCTGGGGAGCCCCCGAGTGGCCCCCCCTCCCCGCAGGGAGCCCCCCACGCCCCCCACTCACCCGCGCCGGCTCTGCCGCCCCATCCGAGCAGCGCTGCCGGTCTGTGCCCGGCCCTGGGGCGCTGACCCCCCCCGGGGCACTGACCCCCCGTCCCCGCCGGGCTGCCCCCCCGCACCCCCAGTCCGCACCTTCGCTCTCTCCGCCGCATCGCGCCCACGCGGGGGGCGGGGGAGGGACCCCCGGCACCGACCCCCGGTACCGAGCCCCTTTACCGACCCCCGGCGCCCACCCCCGGTGCCCACCCCGCCCCCCGCGGGTTAATGATCACCCGGGGGGGGCACGGAGGCGCCGGGGCCGCCCGGTCGTTGTCCCCCCCCGCGCTGGGGGGGCTCCGAGCGATCGAATTCCGGGGATGGGGCGGGAGAGGAGCCGGGAGATCCCGCGGGAGCCGCGGCCGCCGGAGCTGCGGGTGCGGGGCGGGCTGGGGGCGCTCCGGACCCTCCCGGAGCCCCTCGGGTTCCGAGCAGCGCCCCCGACTCGCCCCCCCTCCCCAAAATCCAGGCGGAAAGGGACCTGGAGCCCTCCGTCCCACGGCTGCATCCCGTTGCCATGGCAACGCGTCCCTGCCCCTCCCGTTGCCGTGGGAACGGGGCGCCGACCCCCAGAATCCCCACGGAAGGGGGTCTTTGACCCCCCCCCAAACTCCACGGCTGCATCCCGTTGCCATGGCAACGCACCCACGGCCCCGCCCCCCTCCCGATATCCCGGGGATAAAGGGGTTAAAAACCCCAAAAAGCGAAAATCGGGGTAAAAAGGCACAAAAGAGGGCGGCAGCGCTTCACCAAACGCAGACCCTCGGGGGTTTAAATCAAAATAAAGTGGGACGAGAGGCTTCCAAAGGCCGGGAGGTTTACAAAGGAACGAAACCCCGGGAAAAGCCTTTGGAAAGCCCCAAAAACGCGATCCGTGTTTTCAACCCCCCCGAGTGCCAGGGGAGGTCTGGACAGCCAAAAAACCCCCAGCATAGGGAATTTGAACCGCAAAGAACGGGATAAGTGGTTTTAGACTGCCCTGGAAAAAACTCCACGGCTGCATCCCGTTGCCATGGCAACGCACCCACGGCCCCGCCCCCCTCCCGATATCCCGGGGATAAAGGGGTTAAAAACCCCAAAAAGCGAAAATCGGGGTAAAAAGGCACAAAAGAGGGCGGCAGCGCTTCACCAAACGCAGACCCTCGGGGGTTTAAATCAAAATAAAGTGGGACGAGAGGCTTCCAAAGGCCGGGAGGTTTACAAAGGAACGAAACCCCGGGAAAAGCCTTTGGAAAGCCCCAAAAACGCGATCCGTGTTTTCAACCCCCCCGAGTGCCAGGGGAGGTCTGGACAGCCAAAAAACCCCCAGCATAGGGAATTTGAACCGCAAAGAACGGGATAAGTGGTTTTAGACTGCCCTGGAAATGGGCACGGGGCTGTGAAACCCAAAACTGGCATGAGCGGCTTTAAATCGCAAAAAAATCCCAATAAAAGTTATTTTAAATGGGAAAAAAGAAGATAAGTGATTTTAAACTGCCCTGGAAATGGGGCACGGGGCTGTGAAAGCCCAAAACTGGGATGAGCGGCTTTAAATCGCCAAAAATGTCCCCAAATAAGTAATTTTTAAATGGGGGAAAATAAGTGATTTCAAAATGCCCCCGGAAAAGGGATAAGGTTTTTAAACCTCCAAAATTGTGGTGAGTGGTTTTAAAAGGAAAAAAATAAAATAGAAAGAAAGAAAAAAGGTAAGTGGGTTTTGAAGCAGAAAAAAGTGGATAAGAGGTTTCCAAAGACCACAAAAAATGGCCTGAGTGGTGTCAAAAGCCCCAAAACCCAGGATAAGTGGATCTTAAAGTCCCAAAAAAGAGGACAAGTGGTTTGAGAAGCCATTAAAAAAAAAACCACTAGGAAAAGTCATTTTTAAATCCAAAAAAGGGGGATAAAATGTTTTAAAGCCTTGAAATAATCCTATAAGTGGTTTTAAAAGCATGGAGGGGGGGAACCAATACAGGGTAAATATTTTTTAAAGCCAAAAGAATAAAGTGACAAGTGTTTAAAATAAAAGAGAGAGAGAGACAGAGAGAGAAGAGGTAGTTGGTTTAATAAACAAAAAAATCGAGATAAGTGGTTTTAAAGCCAAAAAAATCCTAGGATATATTAACCATAAAACAAATCAAAAAAGGAAAGTTGGTTTTGAAAGCCTCAAAAACGGGAAAAGTGATTTTAAAAGTTAAGGGGAAAATATAAATTGTTTTAAAAGGAAAAGAAACCTTCAAGGTAGGCAATTTTAAAAGCCAAGAAATGTAAAACCTCCAAAATGGTGATGTCTTCTCAAAAGGCCCCCAAAACTGGGGAAAGGGGAGGAGAGGAGAAAGGAAAAAAAGAGAAAGGAAAGAAAAAGAGAAAGGAAAGAAAAGGAGAAAAAAGAGAAAGGAAAGTAAATGAGAAAGAAAATAAAAAGAGAAAGGAAAGTAAAAGAGAAAAAGAGAAAGTAAAATTGCTTTTAAAGCCAAAAAAAGAGGAAGGTGTGGTTTAAAGCCCCGCAGAATGGGCTTAAGTGGTTTAACACACATCCTCCCCCCCAAAAAAGGGAAGAAATAATTTTAAAAGCCAAAAAGTGAATTCAAAGCCACAAAACTGGGAAGGGAGGTTTGAAAAGGCCCCAGAAGTGGGGAAAGGGCCCCCAAGGCTCAGGGTCAGTAATTTCCAAAGCCAAACCCGAGGGACAGCTGCTTCTGAGGGCTCCCCAAAAACGGAATCATTGGTTTGAAAAGCAAAAAACCTGAACAGTGGGTATGAACAGTTTCAAAAGTCTCCAAAAAACCCAGAATAAGTGGCTTTAAAGGAAAATAAAAAGGGCAAAGTGGTTCAAAGGGCTTTAAAAGCTCTGGAAATGGAGGGGAGTTTTTAAAAGCAAAAACCCAGTGTCAGTAACATAAAAAGCAAAAATCTGGGCTGAGTTGTTTTAAAAGGCCTCCAAAAACGGGATGAGCAGTTCTGAAACCCTGAAATCTGGGCGAAGTGTTTGAAGGGCCTCAGAAATGGGATAAGAGCGTTTAAAGCCCCTCAAAAAGGAGGATAAGTCATTTTGAAAGCTAAAAAATGGAGAAGTGGTTTTAAAGCCTCCAGCTTGGGATAACTGAGTTTAAAACTCCCCAGAAATGGGATGAGTGATGTTAAAAGAAAAACAAAAAACTGCATAGGTCCTTAAGTGGCTTTTGAAATATCAGAAAACAGGATTTGTGGTTTTAAAGGCAAAAAAGAACCAAACCAAACCCAACCCAGCACCACTCAAAAAAATCCAAAAGCTCGCCAGGATAAATCATTTTTAAAGCCAAAAAAAAATGGGATAAATGGTTTTAAAGCCCCTAAAATTATGGGATAGGTGATAAAAGCCAACATTATCAAAAACAACCAAACAAACAAACCCAAAACAAGACAAGAACCCTGGGAAACGTATTGTCAAAGGCCAGAAGCATGGGACAAGTGATTTCAAAAGTGAAAAAAATGATAAGCTGTTTGAAAAACAGCAACAAAAAAAACTGAGATAAGTTTTAAGCCAAAAAACCCTGGGATTAATAATTTATTTTTTAAAAAAAAAGTGTTTTACAGCCCAAAAATGGGATCAGTGGTTTTAGGAGGAAACCTGCCAGGACCTGTCCTCAGTTCCTGGGGGTCTGTGGGGGTGACCAGACATGGAAAAGAGAAAAGAGACAGAAACAGGAACAACAGCAGGGCAATCCACAGCGATCAATCGATCCCCAATGACAGATTGATCCCACAGTGATCAATAACGGTCCAATAACAGATTGATCCCACGGCAATCAATCGATCCCCAATGACAGATTGATCCCACAGTGATCAATAACGGTCCAATAACAGATTGATCCCACGGCAATCAATCAATCCCCAATAACAGATTGATCCTCCCTGGAGCTAATCCCGGGGTTGGAGTTTTTGGGAAGTTCCGATGTGCAATGAACCATTCCTTTCATTAACCATTTCCTTCATTAGCCATTCCTTTCATTAACCATTTAATTCATTAACCATTCCTTTCATTAACCATTTGTTTCACTAATCATTCCTTTCATTAACCATTTCTTTCATTAACCATTCCATTAACCATTTATTCTGTTAAGCATTTCATTAACCATTTCATGAATTATTTCCTTCATTAACCATTTCTTTGATTAACCACTCCTCTCATTAACCCTTTCATTAACCACTCCTCTCATTAACCACTCCTCTCATTAACCATTCCATTAACCATTTCTGTCATTAACCATTCCATTAACCATTTCTGTCATTAACCATTCCATTAACCATTTCTGTCATTAAGCTGTCGTTAACCCTTTCAGTGAGCGTGTCTCTCATTAACCCTTTCATTCCCCTCGGCTGCCCCTCCTCTGCTCTGTCCCAGCCCCTCCCGGCAGTGCCACCCCGGGGGCAGTGGCAGGTCCAGCCCAGCGGGATGGGACAGCGGCAGTTCAGCTCCAGCCTGTCCTGCTTTAGGGCAAATGTGGGAGAAACCCTCCAAAAGGGGCCCCCAGAAAGGAAACCCACACGCCCCCCCCACAAGGGGTTTGGGAAGGATTTCCTCGGAGAGAAGTGGGAAAATCCTGTTTGTTTAACAGGCAAAGCACCCCCAGCACCCAAAATGAACAACAGCGGATGACAGCTCTCATCGGCCGCTCTGAAGGAAGGACAAATTCAGAAAGGCTGAATTTGGGTGGAGAAATTCAGAAAGACTCTCTTTTATGGGGTCGCTCTGTTATCAATCCCTCAGCACTGGGGATGGCTGCAGCCCAGAGCACCCCGGTGGCCACAGGTTGTGATGCTTGTGTCCCATCGTGTGTTCTGTCACTGCTGGATATTCCCACAGTATCCATGGTGTGTTCTGATAATTCTGGATATTCCCACAGTGTCCCACCGTGTTCTGTCACTGCTGGATATTCCCACAGTGTCCCACCGTGTGTTCTGTCACTGCTGGATATTCCCACAGTGTCCCACCGTGTGTTCTGTCAGTGCTGGATATTCCCACAGTGTCCCACCGTGTGTTCTGTCAGTGCTGGATATTCCCACAGTGTCCCACCG